GGAAGGAAGCTACTAATATATTTAATTTTTTTTTGACAGGCAGAGTGGACAGTGAGAGACAGACAGGGAAAGGTCTTCCTTCCGTTGGTTCACCCTCCAATGGTCACTGCCGCCGGCGCACCGCGCTGATCCGAAGGCAGGAGCCAGGTGCTTCTCCTGGTCTCCCATGCGGGTGCAGGGCCCAAGCACTTGGGCCATCCTCCACTGTCCTCCCAGGCCATAGCAGAGAGCTGGCCTGGAAGAGGGGCAACCAGGCAGAATCCGGCGGCCCGACCGGGACTAGAACCCAGTGTGCTGGCGCCGCAGGCGGAGGGTTAGTCTAGTGAGCCGCGGCGCCAGCCAGAAGCTACTAATATAAATATTACCACTAATAACAACTGCTACAAGTTTGAATACCTGCCAGGTACTTTATATGTACTGTTATATTTAATTTATTGCAAAAGGGAATTATGAGGAGCAGGTGAAACAAGAAAGTAGTGGAGTTCATCTCCACTGAGAATAGGAATGGACAAGGAAAGTAATCTTGACATATCAGCAGTAAATTTTCAATTATCGATGAAAATATGAAAATTGTAATTAACACTGATTAAAGTAGTAAAATGACTGGCAATGTCGGGCTTAGTTACTTAAAAAAAAAGAAAGAAAAAAGAAAAAGACCAAAAAGAGTGTTAAGTCTTGAGACACTACAGAATAGTATCCAAAGAGGTAAAGCACTGTCTCTTAAATATGATCCAATCTCAGGTTAGCTTCAAGGATTCTGCACAACACCAGAACTAGTCTGAATTCAAGTTCAACATTCTCTGCCACTGCCAATTTTGGGTAAATCAGACCTCAAAAGACACCCTCTAGGTCTAAGTAGAAATAGACTGCCTTCTTCCAAGTCCTAAATCCTTCATGGAGGCTTCATCTATTAACCTGTTGTGAACAAGACTTCCCAAATCAGGGAATTCTAAGTATTCACCAGCCCTTTAAACATTACTCCAAATGTGCTGTATAAATACCTTACTCATTTTATATTTTATTTCCTGCTTATATTTTGTGAGGTCTTTTGTGTGTATTATTAATGTCTTGGATTAATTATCCTAGAAAGCACAAAAGGTGTTTGTGTTAACAGTAGCTGGCAGTGGCATATCCAATCGCAATTCCTAAGCGTTACTTAATAACAATGATGTTTACGGGACGTAAGTACTATTACAAAACCATATGAAATTAGGATCTAAAGGCCTTGAAAATAGTATAACATTGTTCTGGATAAAATATGAGAAAATTTCATGAGAACAGGAAATAATGGCTTTTCATAATCTGATACTCAAGTATTAAGGAAATCTAGCTGACATCTGATTAAAACCATGTCAGTCTAAGCTAGAGGTCAAGTATCAGGTCATTGTCTAGCTCCAAAATCTGAAATGAAGGCTATCTCTGATTTGCAATTATGTACTCCTCAAGTTTATGTGTCCTGTACCTGAACAGAATCATCTCTTCTCCCTCTCCTTCCTTCATTAGACACCTCCATTCAGCAAAACATCAAAAGAATTAAGAGTTGTAAGCCTGACCCATGCAGAAATGGCCACTACAGCTTATAACAGTATCTAGATATCATAAAAAAATGCACACACACACATACACACAATTATTCTTTTTTTTTTTTTTTGACAGGCAGAGTGGACAGTGAGAGAGAGAGACAGAGAGAGAAAGGTCTTCCTTTTGCCGTTGGTTCACCCTCCAATGGCCGCCGCTGCAGCCGGCACACCGCGCTGATCCGATGGCAGGAGCCAGGATCCAGGTGCTTTTCCTGGTCTCCCATGGGGTGCAGGGCCCAAGCACCTGGGCCATCCTCCACTGCACTCCCTGGCCATAGCAGAGAGCTGGCCTGGATGAGGGGCAACCGGGACAGAATCCGGCGCCCCGACCGGGACTAGAACCCGGTGTGCCGGCGCCGCAAGGTGGAGGATTAGCCTATTGAGCCACGGCGCCGGCTAATTATTCTTACATTAAGGTATCTCTTCTCAGGTTGCCCTATTTCCTTTAGTCATTACTTCCAATATCTCTTTTTCTTGCTCTTCTTAATTATCTACTTGTATCTATAAATACAATAAAATCCATTCAACTAGCATAAATTACCATCCTTTAAGCAGCTTCTCTTTCTCAACTCTAGACACAATAAAACCTCGTTGACCCTGGAATAGTATCTCCAGAAATGCTACTACGCTTTCAAAAACTCAAACATGTAAATCATGTTTGTGATAGTAATGAAGCAGAATATTAAATGGTTGTATTATTATAAACTTCACTCTACCTAAGAGAAAGCCTTAGAGATCAATATACACAAAAATAAAAAATACAAACAGAAAGCAAAGACTGGGCACAGCTTTTAAACTAATGAGATCCTATCCATACTACTTGTACAATGGGGGTGGTAGGTGGGGTGGGGAATGGGGGAAGTAGGGAATGGTGGTTTGACATTTTTGATCTTCAAAAACAGCCTTATAAGAGCAAGGCTACCATAAGCCCCAATTTACAAACCTTGACCCAAATACTAAAAAATATTTTTCTGGACCATGCCAAATCATTAGAGACCTGTGTGTCATCAGAGACTTGTGTGCCTGTACTACATGTTTTGGGGTCATCACCAAATTTTTCCAGAACACACTGAGATGTTGGCCATCAGCTAAAACCAGGGGTTATTACAATATGTCTCTTTGTTTTATTCACTAAAGAGACATGGTTTGCTTGAGAATGCAAGAAGTTTCTTTAAGGTCTCAGTACCAGGAAAGATTTGTTTCTACCATAACCAGCTTTCTGATAGATACCACAGTTCCAGTAACTGTCCATATTACTATCTCTGTGTCCTGTCAGTTTCAGAGCCGATTCAGGACCCAAGTGCACTTGACATTTTTGGATAATAATTTTACCCAGAAACCAAATTTCCTCATGAATGTTTATACTATTATATACTACATACTTTTTCATAAATTCTTTTTAGAACATGGTGGGATAGAAATAAAACAATTACATAATTGTTAAAAAAAAATATAGCTACTTGGTTTAAGTGTTTCCATGAAATAGAAGATAGTTCTATACCATGAACCAGTTACTTTCCAACAATAAACTACAAATCACTTCTAGAATATTTGCCAAGGCAAGGAAAGCTGTTCTAACTTTTGCCCCTATACATTTAAATCCAAGTTAAGACAGAACACTATCTTCCAAATTTTCCCAGCTCCAGATAGATTCAGGGAAAAACACTCATCACCTTAGATCCATCATTTTGAGAATGGGGTGAAAGCTATAAATCTAGAAAACCTGCACACATCACAAACTGTATTCAATTTCAGAGTGGGGGGGTCCAGAAATATCCCTCCAATCCCATTAATGAGTGTAAGGTGAACAGCATTCTAGAAAATGCCAAGTCTAAATGCCATTCGCTGGAACGCAAGATCAATATCCTTTATATTATTTTCACATAAAAGTTGTTTTCAAAGATGGGTCCTGGGGATCAAGGATAGCTCCTAGTTCTATTTCTTGGTAATAAAATATTCACACTGTGGTAAGCCTCAAAATACTTGGCTTTGTTCATTTTCACCCCACAATCACCCTGTATGTAAAGTATTAAGCCCTGGCTTACCTAGTCCCTTTTACTGAGGTTTATTCTTCCACACAGCATGTCCCTCCACTGACTAAAATGAAAGCTCCATCACTGCAGGGACCTGTTTTGCTTAAAGATTTATCTCTGGCACATTAAAAGTACTCAAATACCTTTTAGATGGATCTCCTAAAGGATCTTCTACTCCTTGTAGTTAGCGAACTACATTGTACATTAAGTTTTCCTGGATATCAGCCATTCTCATTCACTGAAATAGTTAGGACTACTTTCACACTACAAAGGCAGTGCTGAGTAACTGCAACATGAACCACAAGGCCCACAAAGTCTCAAAATACTACCTCCACCTTTAGAGAAAGACTGTTGACTGCCCATAGCGCTGGTTTGGCTCTTATTTTCCAAGCTAGATCGGAAGCATCCATTGTACCCAGAACACAGCAGATGCTCTAAAATGGCTGTCACTATAAAATTTTACAGATTTGTTACTTACAACATATATTACTTTTGCAATTAGGTTACTACTTGCATTATCAATGTGTTTCTAGCCACACGCTAAGGCCACAAAACTTACCCATGTTAAGAAAATTGAGAAGCAACTAGAATAGATAGTAATATTAAATAATTAGGAGCAAACTTCTTAATTCAAAATCACAATTGTGTCATCTTTAAAATGCAGATGTGACAACAACTGGAAAGATGTTTCAGACAAATGATTCTGAGGTACACCATAGTTATTTCCTCAGTCAAAAATTACTCTAAAAAAGTATTTCACTTGTATCAGGCACACATGATAGATATCCAACAGTCATGCAATAGGTCATTCTCCCATAAATATACTACTCATCAATTTTTACAAAATAACTGAAAAGGAACATCTAGACTTATACCCTCTTGCCAGCTGTAAGACATGCTCAGCCCCTTCCCTCCCCTGCCTCAGATTCCCATTCTTAATTTTTACAATGATCTATTATCAGTTGGAATCTGGGTGGGAGGGAAGAGAAGCCCCACTTTGTTCCTAAATCTGTATATATGAAATATATGAAACTTGTATAACTTAAATACGATAAAAAGAATAAAGAAAAAAAAGACATGCTCAGCATTTCTCAATCCATTTAAAAATTATATCCTTCCTATTGGTCTCTAAAACTTTTAATTTGTATAGATACCACTTGTTTCCAAGAAAATGAAGATGAAATAAATAATTCTAGGCATGATTTCAGCCCTCTGTGTACCCCACATGTCAAGGAAATCAAACAAGATTTATTTTTCATATTTTTAGATGATATATCATTTGAAAACCATGCAGCCCATGGACTAAGACAAAAGTGAAAAGGAAGGATAAGAGGCTTATTGAATTATCGCTAGTTATTCTGAATAAGCAACAATATACACAATGATATACAATCATATGAGAAAACTATTGTTTATTTAGAAAAAAAGTTACACAGGTAGAATTCAGTAGATAAAAAAATTCTCTTAAAAATGTCACTGTGAAACTTTTCCAGATGAAAGCGCAGCAATACAAAGCTCCTGTAGCTGTAGACTTAAAACACAATAAACTTCTGATCCCCCGCCTCTGCCAAGATTTGTCTAACATAATTACAGGGGGAAAAATGGCAAGGGACAAGTGAGCAATGGTATCTTTTCCTTTTTCAAACAGATTTTAATGTTGCACATGTACTATTTTATAAAATGATTCCTAAGCATTACATAAGACACTTGCTCCCACTTTTTAGTGACAAGTATTAAAAACAGGCCAAATAATAAATTAAAACTAAGTTTTAAAATGAGGTAAATTCAAAACAGTTCAATAATTTTTTATTTTTGAACAGTAAAAAGGAAATGGGTGGGGGATGGGAGGGAAAACAACTAAACCCAGGCAATATTTAGTTAACCAAAAGTGAAATTCTGTACACATGTAACCTTATTTGCTTGTTGGAAACTGTATGCAGCACATTGTGCTAAAAATATCAAACAGTTTTACACTTTCAGCCATTACTGAAAATAAACATGTAGAAACCAAACAACAAGTTAAAATACAGTAATGTACAATTCAACAATTTTAAGTTTTCAGCATGGAGCAATAAAGCTGATAACTGAATAATTTAAGGAGATGAAAATGGGCCCTCTTCGATTCATAATCCCCGGCAATTTATTCAGGAAAATTAATTTCTGGTCACAGATGAACAATTTCATTCCAATATCACCTGAAAGAAACAAAGTGATTATATTGATAGATAAGGAATAAAGGAAGACTGGAAGGGAAGGAAGGAAGGAGAAAGGAGGAAACAAAGAAAAAGGAGGTGGGAAAGAGAAGGGAGGAAAAAAGGCAGCTAGGTTCTTTTAATATAAAAAGAGAAAGAAAAAAAGAAAGGAAAATTAGTAAGTTCCATCAATAATAAAGACTTGAATCAAGTCCCCAGAAAGGGATGAAATATTTGAGTATTTCTTATTATTGCCCACTCTTAGAAACCACTAAAGTCAGGCACATTATGACTTTTTTAAAAAACAAAAAGCAATGAATTTTTTGTGTTTGAGAAGGAGGGCTGGGGAAGAGTAGGGAGAAAAAATGAAATAGCAGTAAGGAAACATTTTACAAGCATAAACAATAGCTTATCAAAAAAGAAAACCATAACATGTAGCAAAGAATTCATTTTACATGATCAACAAAAGAAAAATGACATCACATTTTTCATAAGGACACAATTTTAATTGCGACATATTAAGATGCAATGTCTGCTAAATTATAAAAATTGCTTTAAAAATATATTGACTCAATTATACTCATTTCCTTTCCTTTATGTATTGACATTTTTCAAATACTGTATATTGAAATAAATTCAAAACATGATCATTACAATATGTGGCAAATAACTTCATATCTGCCTAACATTGTTCTCAAAGTTAAACTAATGCTTAATGCATTACTTTATTGATGAAAATACTACATTCACATATTTCATAAAACCAGAACTAGAAGGGGCCTTAGAAAATAATCACACTTCCATGAAATGCTGACAAATAATTTACATATCATTTCTACAAAGCATTCTGTTCACACCATGTATAATCTTGACATTGTCAATGATAATCATAGATACACTAATGTTGAACTTACAGTTTTAATACTTAAAAAGTCATTGTTCCTATCCATCAAACAATGAATGGATAAACACAATATGATACACATTCATTCAATGGAATATTATTTAGCTATAAAAAGGAACGGAGCACTGACATGCTACAACATGGATGAACCTTGAAAACATGATGCTAAGTCAAAGAACCCACATACAAAAGGCTGCATATTGCATGATTCCATTTACGTGAAATGTCCAAAACAGGCAAATCCATAGAGACAAAATACATCAGTGAATTACAAGGGTCAGGAGAAGAAAAAGAATTCAGAGTATGGTTGACAGACCTGGGATTTCTTTTCAGGGTGACAGAAATGTTATGGAATTAGACAGTGGCGATGATTGCACAACATAGTGAATATACTAAAAACCACTGAATTGTACACTTTTAAATGCTGAATTTCATCACAATTTTTTAAATTGCAAAAGAAAAAAAAGACTCAGTTCCAATAAGGAGCATGATCCTATCAGTATGGCCATAATTAGGCAATAAGAAATGGCTTCTCAGTCACGAAGATGTCACTTTAGAATTAGTGGACAATCAAAATTTTGACAACATAATTAATGGAACATTAAAGGATAAAATTGCTGTTAAAATATATAAAGAAGATCCTTCCCAGGAAACGAAATTAAAATTTTTACAAGAAGCCAAAATCCTCAAGCAATATAATCATCCCCATATTGTCAAACTTATAGGAATTTGCACACAATGATAGCCTATCTACATCATCAAGGAAGTGGTTCCAGGAGGCGACTTCCTCTCCTTTCTGAGAAAGAAGGATGAACTAAAACTCATCATTTAGTGAAATTTTCATTAGATGCTGCTTCTGGATGGCGTATCTTGAGTAAAAATTGTATACACAGGGACCTTGCGGCAAGAAACTGCGTGGAGGTGGAAATATTGTTCTGAAAATCAGTGACTTTGGAATGTCTCGTCAAGAGGATGGTGGTGTATATTCATCTTCTGACTTAAAGCAGATTCCCATTAAATGGACAGCACCAGAAGCTCTTAAATATGGGAGATATCATTCTGAGAGTGACGCATGGAGCTTTGGCATCCTCCTCTGGGAGACCTTCAGCTTAGGGGTCTGTCCATACCCTGGAATGACAAATCAGCAAGCACAAGAGCAAGTGGAAAGAAGATACTGGATGTCAGTCTCTCAGTAGTGTCCGGCAAGTAATCATAAAATAGTGCTGAAGTGTTGTGATTACAGACTTGAAAACCTCCCCCAAGTTCAATGAACTTCAGAAGGAGCCAGCTGCCAACAAGAAGTTAGTCACATAGTGATGAAATAGTCCTAAACTCAGCCTTTCGGACTTTATCTTCAGCAAAGTAATATTTTTCTTTTCATTGAGGTTATACCACATTACCTGCCACATTCTTCTAAGTTGTTTTTTTTTAAAGTATCATTTTAACCATTATATATAAGCAAGCATAGGTTCTGTACGTAAGTCGTCACACACACACACATCTCTTTTTCACACCTAGGACAGATGTGACTTCAGGAGCAGTTCAGAATCTGCATAGTCTCCATTACAGACCCTATACTGTTATTGGTAATACTATGTCTGCAGGGCACATTTCAACAAAAGGTGGTCTCCACTCTGCTGAAACAAGGTTACATTTATAAACATCATTTTATATTGAAAGCTATCTGGATCTCCTAAGTTTTCTTTTTCTTATGCCAGCAATTGGTCCTATATCGTAAGACTATTATTTCCCTACATTCTACCATGCCTTCCTCAGGGAATCAGAAAACTAAGTACAAAATGTCTTCAAAGAGAACTCTCTCAGAGTTGAGGCAGCTGACCAGCTGACTTTAAGAAGGATTACAGAGCTGTTACAACAAGAGGCAAATTTGAAATGCACAGTGGTCTGGAGAAAAGAGCAGCTAGAGACCAGAAAGAGAAGAAAAGGCAGACAGAAAATCAGTCTTTTTATCAAGGCGTGCCTTTCTAAACATATACATGATTTTTAATTTTATGATCAAACCAAAAAGGTGCTAAGAAAGGTTTCAGCAATTCACAGATTACTCATACAAGAGCCTTCTTGATGGCAACGAATTTTTTAACAAAACTACAAAATACAAGCCCACCAAAACAAAACATATAACATTAAACTAAAATGTCTGGGATGTCCTCAAAGACAGCATCCCAGAATTGCTGCATTCCCTGCATCCAAAACTGTAAGGATTTCACAATCCTAATTTCCTCCCTCCCTCTGTCTCTCTCTCTCTCTCTTTCTCTCTCTCTCTCTCTCACACACACACACACACACACACGAGTAAAAAGGCATAAGGATGAAGTTAACTTTTCAAAACTTGAACACACATTTATAAGGTAGAAAAAAGTTTGAAGGAGAAAGACACAGGGACAGCCACTGTAATTCTACTTTACTCCTGCATTTATCTTTACATTACAACCAAATAATTCTTACAACAAACATAGTTCCTGAGATATTTCATGTGGATAAAATATAACAGAATTAAAACTGGGACTCTAATGAGCTGAATCTTAAGCATATTCAGGGATGCCTCTCAGGATACATACATATATTTGGGATAGTCACATTCATGGCCAAATGTGGCATGACAGCCTTTTGTAAGTGCTCAACCCTGTTAGGTTTAACCAAAAACAGAACACCACACACACACACACAATCAGCACCCTAATGAATACTGGGCCTAAAAGAGCAAGGAAACAGAAAAATTCCTCCCATCCTATTCAACTGTACAGCACTGATGAATATCATTGCCAAAGCCCATACCCAGTTTAAGAGTCTAAAAGACAATAATGAAGAGAAAAATGGATTGTGTCTATTATTTCAATTCTCTAATAAGTTTTACAAATATTAAATGTTTATCATATAAAGAACTAAATAAAAGCACAACAAATTTGCCTTCAAAAATATATTGCAAAACATATAACAAATTCTTTTTCATCAGTATGGTTTCCCATCTATCAAACACTGTAAATAAACTGAACCTTCTTTTGATGACAAAAAAAGTCACTGTTGCTGTTCATTATTTTCACACTCATGCCAAAGAGAAAAACTTAATATTGCTATAATGGTCTCTCTGTAAAGTTAACAAAGTATCTAAGACATAGGACATAATAAAAAAATACTTAATTGGAAGACTGGAATGAAGGGATACAGTTTCAGCCTTCAACAAAATCACAGTTTGGGAGAGGGGTACACAAGGTACTCTACATAGGAACCTGTGACTAGAACTTGGAAGGCAAGCCCACATGCACACATATTAGCAAGGGGAGGCTACTGAGGAAGCAACTTAATCAAACACTCCCTAGCCCTATACAAGTTACTACCATCAGGAACCTACTTCAAAATGACAATACATTCCTAAAATAAAAAATCCTTCAGAGCTTCGAGGCCAGTTTTCAAGTATGGACTGAAGGAAAAAACAAAAAGCTTAGAGCAGGAATTACACAATCAATAGTCTACAAGGGCTAGGAATGTAACAGAAATAAATGATGTCGCTGAGTGAGAACAGACTGACCTTTTTTTTTTAAGGTCTTGGCTTGGGGCCAGAGTTGCACCATAACAGGTAAAGCCGCCACCTGGGACATGGGCATCCCATATGAGGGCAAGTTTGAGACAAGGCAGCTCCACTTCTGATGCTGCTCCCTGCTAATGTGCCTGGGAACGTAGTGAAGGATGGCCCAGGTGCTAGGGCCCTTACACCCATTTGGGAGATCTGGAAGAAGCTCCAGACTCCTGGCTTTGGGGAGGGAATGAACCAGTGGAAAAAGCAATCAATTAAAAAAAAAACACAAAGCATTGTGTGATACACTCCAGCAAGCCACATTCTACCAAAGGGCTGAGAATTTGCAGCCTTGGGATAGAACTCAGGTAAGAGTTAGGGTTCAGGTATGAAATGGAGATGAGAAATGAATCTGCAATATATATTCAGCTTGCTGAAATGGAGGATTAGAATAGGAATGTACTAGATTTAAAATACAGATGATAGTGTGGGTATTTAGCCTAGCAGTTAAAGATACTGGTTAGGGGGCTGACGCTGTGGCGTAGCGGGTAAAGCCGCCGCCTGCAATACCAGCATCCCATATGGGTGCCGGTTCAAGTCCCAGCTGCTCCACTTCCAATCCAGCTCTCTGCTACGGCCTGGGAAAGCAGTATAAGATGGCCCAAGTCCTTAGGCCTCTGCATCCATGTGGAAGACCCGGAAGAAGCTGCTGGCTTCAGACAGGCGCAGCTCTGGCCATTGCAGCCAATTAGGGAGTGAACCAGCGGATGGAAGACCCCCCCCCCTCTGCCTTTCCTTCTCTCTCTCTATGTAAGTCTGACTTTCAAATAAATATTAAAAAAAAAGTTTTAAAGATACTGGTTAGGAAACTGGCATCCCATGTTGGAGGGCCTAGACTAAGTTCCCAACTCTGGCTAACTCCAGCTTCCTGGGAGGCAGGAGGTAATGGCTCAAGTAGGTGGGTCCTTATCACCCACAAAGAACTGGATTCACTTCACCCTGGCCCAGTCCATCAGTCTTTCTCTCTCTCTTGACTATATTAAAAACAAAATGAAGTAACATTATGAAAGTTGGGTTCAAAGGACTTAAATAGTATTCACTTATGCAAGTTTTAAAAATACAGATGGACAGGATATAGCTAATTGTTGACACTCTTTAACATCAAAATCCTAGGTCCAAAATAATAAAGAAAGGGCAACTGAGCACCTCAAGGTCTGGGAGCCAAGTGTCAGCTTAGCACAGCAGCTCAATCACAGAAAGGACTCTCAAAAGCGTGACAAGCTCAACATTCCTGTGTTGAGGAACACACATATCAAATTAAAATCGATAAGCCAAAGGTTAGTTCTTTGGGGACAATTTTAATAGGCAGGAATTTTTAAAGAAGATTAAAGTAGAGAAAAGATTAGAAGCAAAACAGCTAGTAATGTTCAAGAGACTAAATCAAAAAGAGGTAAGATGAATTTGGACAAAGATGTTACGGGTAGCAGAAGATATAGAAAAAGACAGGATCTTGCAAACAAAAACAAAAAACAAAAACAAAAAACAGGCAGGGCAGGTGTTTGGCCTAGTAGTTAAGATGCCTCTGTCCCATACAGAAAAGCCTGATTCAAGTCCTGGTTCCAGCTCCTGACTCTAGTTTCCTACTAATGCACACCATGAGAAACAGTGGATGATGGATCCTACTACCTGCTACCCACATGAGAAACCTGGATTGAATTCCTGGCTCCTGGCTTTGGTCTGGGCTAAGCCTAGTTGTTGTGGACATTTGGGAAATAAGCCAGAGAACAGGTGTGTGTGTGTGTGTGTGTGTGTGAAATAAAAAAAAATACACAAGGGAAGAAGACAGAAGACTTTACAAGGAATTTAACTGAGTCACATTTATATAGTATATTTTCTTAATAGAAAATAAAAGGGGAGTATGGAGATTTTGAGATAGCCTATATAGCTAGATGGAACCAGTTAGAAATAGTAAGACCTCTAAAAAACAAAAAGGAACACATACAAAAAGACTTGACCAATCCTAGAATGAACCCAAACAGAAAGCGGCAGTCAGAAAAATCAGACCCTCACATAATTAAGAGTTTACTCAAGAATAAACTATAATACACACTTTTCAGGAAGAAGTTAAACAGGATTACCATCAAGCTAAATGTTATCTTTTAAAGGATATCTGAATCTAAAAGCTCTGCTATAAAACTATCAGCCAAACACCTCACCCTAGCCAGTCTTTTCATGATTTTGTTCCTGATAGATTATAGACAGGTAAAAGTACAAATGCATGATCAAGGGAAGAATTCAATGAAATTTGTAACAAAGCCTCATATACAAAAAAATACTTAGATACTAAGTAAAAAGACATGTATAAATTCACAGTAAAAAATTGTGACAGTAGTTGGCTCTTTTCCTAATGAAGATGAGAGGCAGGCTTCTTGTTTCTTTAATAGAGAGACCTACCTCATGGTGAAAGCAAAATCCCAAATTAAAAGAAAGGCTAAACTCTGGCCTCAGAATCAGCCCTAAAGGCACTCGGATCTGGCTGAAAAGCCCATGAGAGTATTTCAGGCATGGAAAGCCAAGACACTCTGGCAAAAAGATCTCTGTGAGTGAGATCCCAGTGGAAAGAACAGGTCTTCAAAGAGGGAGGTGCCTTTCTCTGAAGGGAGGAGAGAACCTCCACTTTGACTATGACCGTGTCTAAACAAGATAAGAGTCGGAGAACTCAAGGGGCTTCCATAGCCTTGGAAACTCATAACTGGTGCATAGGGAGATTACTGATGCCATAAACAGGAGTGTCAATTGGTAAAGTCAACAACAGGAGTCACTGTGCACTTACTCCTCATGTAGGATCTCGGTCCTTAACGTGCTGTACACTGAGGCTTAATGCTATAACGAGTACTCAAACAGTATATTTCACTTTGTGTTTCTATGGGGGTGCAAACGACTGAAATCTTTACTTAATGTACACTAAACTGATCTTCTGTACACAAAAAAAAAAACAACAGAAAGAAATTTTCAATTCCCAACTTGACTCTCACTGGGATTAAACATGACAATAGGTCTGATCTGATTTCATCATCATTTAAAAAAAATCATCTATTATTTTTCACTTTATGTTTCTGTGTGGGAGCAAACTGTTGAAATACTTACTTAAGGTATACTAAGCTGATCTTCTGTATATTAAGATAATCGAAAATGAATCTTGATGTGAATGGAAGGGGAGAGGGAGTGGGAAAGGGGAGGGTTGTTGGTGGGAGGGACGGTATGGGAGGGGAAGCCATTGTAACCCATGAGTCGTACTTTGGAAATTTATATTCATTAAATAAAAGATAAAAAAAAAAAAAAAAAAAAAGGCTAAGGTAAAGAATGAGAGAAGAAAGATTAAGTCTACCAGAGACTATAGCTAGTTGTCAGAATGAGGGGTGAGGGTAATGAAGACTAGAATTGAAGAGGAGTAATATTTCTTTTACAATCTTCAAATTTAAAAAGATTTAAACTACAAATGCTGGTTCCTAGCTCTTGTTTAACCTACTTTACTTAGATAACTAGCCCAAAATAACAGAACAGAAACAGCATGCCACTCAGAAGCAACCTCAAATCCCTGCTTTATAGCCAAAATAAACATGAAAAAAATCCACACCCTAAAGCCCGTACCCTCAACTAGAACTAGCTCTCAGACACTTAACTCACCTGTACCTGTAAATAGCCTGGTTTATCTATCTGGCTTCATAAAAGGTTAGAAGTAGCTAATAACATTAGGGAGAAATAATAGATAGTAAGTATACTTAATATTATTAAGAAATGGAAACTAACATGAAAACAAGAAAATGGACAATAAAAAAGCAGAGTCAACAACTTCAGATACATCTCTCTGGAACCATCAAATAAACCACTAAATGTAGGAGCAAATCATCTTACACATTTCAATAATCCTAAGGCATCAGCAAATAGTAACTATTCTGATAATGATGGACACAGAATTTATTTAAGATGGTTAAATCACTTTGTAAGTCTCACATAACACATAAGCGAATTTCCTTGAAAACAAAGTTGCACATCTTAAATTCTAGAACTAAAAGCAGAGACCTTATTTTCTAGCTTTGTAAAACATGGGAAGTAGTAGAAAAAGGCAAAAAAAAAAAGTTAAAAATCTTTGGATTACATGTCTGCATGAGAAGGCATAAAGAACAGAAAACACTCAAGGAATAAAACCTAAGTTTGAGTATTGGCTCAATTGGACAATATCTCTGTGATCTTCATCAACTTAACCCTAAGAGCCTCAGTTTCTTTACCTGTGAAATGCAAATACTAATACTACTTATAGGACCACAAATACTTCAAAAAGTTAATTAACTACCCAGAGCAGATGGGAATGAGTGGTGAAGAGAAAACCAGATATTCTTAAATACATCTTGGTGTTTAAAAAAAAATGCGTGGCAACTCAGTAAGCTTAAGTCAAAAACAGCTTTAAAAATAACTATGAGTCTTGTTTCACATCTATATCCAAAGACTTTATCCTTATAGTTAGGTGAAAAAAAATTAAGTAGCTATATCTTGCAAAATGGATCTAGTTTCTTAAACAGTATTAGTTCTTTAACATGACAGTACATACATTTATATCTTTAAATAAAAAGGAGATAAGAGACTACTCACCTTGATTTAAAGTCTTCATTATCTGTGTTTATCTGAGGACTTATGAGTAGATGAAAAATTAAGGGAAAACAACTTTGGAGGAAATAAAGAATAGTGTCTCAACCTTCAGGCAATTCCTCAGGTTGCAGGCCTAAGCATCTGGATCAGCCTGATAGCTGCAAACTTCCCAGCCCTGCTCCTAACTTGGCCCTTCTATTTCCCATGTTCAGTCACCATGGGAGTCAAAGAACAAAAATCCCAAACATCAGGTTTCCCACTTCCACATTTCATATATTTGAGAGGGTTACCTTGAAAGACCACTAGAGGGGAGGGGGGTTATGAAGCATTTAGCATTTAGACCACAGACTTCAGGGTATAATTCTAAATACATGCAGTATCAAAATTTTTTCATTATACCACCACCACCACCACCACCACCACCACTACTACTGAAAACACCAATAAATGAAAAGGATATTGTTTCTTTTCTTCCTTTCCTCCTGAACTGTCCCGTTTCTCTTTCTTTTCTATCTTTTCTTTATCATGCCTGGACTCCTATAAGGAATGGTGCAATTAGATGGGGAAGAGAAAGCCAAATGTAAAAAAATCAGTTCAAAATCCCTTTTCATCACCTACAAGCCAGAATTTTTCTTCAAAGATTTACTTAATATGGTACCAAAAGCACAATCAACAAGAGAAAAAAAAAAAGAAAACTAGAAACATACACTGGACTCCACAAAAGAACAAGGAACTTTCTTGCATCAAAGTATGGCTAGAGAAAAAAATAAACTTCAAAAAAGGCAGGCTAAAACTCAGGTGAACAGAAAGTGATGGAATGCAACTTTTAGAGGTCACTAATTACCTCTCAATAATCTGAGACTGAACTGGCTCTAATTCCCCAGTTAACCTTGCGGCCTCCCTCCCCCCAATGTCTCCTTTCTTCCCACACCCAGGTAATTAACAAAAGAAGACTCAAAAAAACTCTAGGGCAACCTTGCAGTTCAGTGTGTTAAGCTGCTCCATGCAATGCCAGCATGCCATATGAGCACTGAATGCCCACTGGAGTCTTAGCTGCTCCACTTCTGATCCAGCTCCCTGCTAATGCACCTAGGAAGGCAGCAGAGGCTGTGCCAAGTGCTTGGGCCCCTGGCACCCACATGGAAGACCCAGAAGGAGTTCCATGCTCCTGACTTCAGCCTCGTTCAGCTCTGGCCCTTGCAGCCATTTGTGGCATGAACCAGCAAATAGATTTCTCCCTCTCCCTCCAACAACACTGGTGTCTTTCAAATAAATAAATATTTACCAAAAAAGAAAAAACTCAATATTTGGTAAATTCTCAAAAGGATGATTTAAAAAAAAATAAAGAACATTGTTTTGTTTTCCTAATTTACCTTTTTGCCACCGGAAGAGATTTTATCCATCTTCTCGGACTTAAATGAATCACCACCTTTTTCTTTGCCTGAAGATTTTGACTTATTTTTTTCCTTGTCTTTCTCATTTGGGTAAGGAGAGTCACATGGACTTTCACTTTTGCGTTTTGATACCCCCACTACAATTACAAAAGAGAATCATGAAAGCCCTTTCCAATTCACATTGACAATTGCTTCAAAGGCATTAATAAGTCTACCTACTTGTTCCATTTTCCTCTTTACGCCTCTTGGCTATGTCCGGTGGCACTTCACGGTCACTGTTTGAGTGATCCTAGAACCGAGAATTGTGAACTACATTGATCAAGGGTTTACATTTTTGCTTTAAAGTATCGCTTTTATACAAGAAGAGTGAAGCTAACTAGCTTTGGAGAACATTTGCAGTAGTTTCACATACTTGGTAAAAATGGCATGAAAGACAAGCACAGCTGGTACAGATTACTAGGCTGAAGATCCTTATTATTGTGAAGACGCAAACACACTTCAGGGTGAAAATACCAGTTAGAACATGAAATAATAAGCTGCTATGGAACAAACTAGTATTTTCAAAGAAGCAACAAACATGATAATGAGTTTTCCAAACTAGTTGTAAAAAAATTACAAACCCTTTTCCGCTCTTTCCTGTCCTTCTCATCTTTTTTCTCTCTTTCTCTGGATCTTTCCCTCGACTTGTCCAAATCTTTCTTGTCCATTTCTCTCTCCTTACTCTTGGATAGTGGTGGAGGAGTATGATTAATGTAGAGCTGTTAAATTAAGGTAATATTACTAAAGATTATTAATTTTCCAGTATTGGCATCACTTGTTTGTTTATTAAGTGAAAGACAATTGGTAGTTAGACCCCAAGTCAAAACTGGTCAGCTGTTTAGACTCTAAAAGGTTAAAAAAAAAAAAGGCAGGAGGAGGACATGGGACAAATTATACAGAGGTTTTAATTCTTGGCCTTACAAAAATTGTCACTTAAACTCAATAAGTTTGTTACTACCTCAATTGATATTCATTAGTAAATTAACAGCGAGAATTTACTGTTCTAAAGACCTGTAACCATTATTCGGAGAATCCATATGTGAAAAAATAGGGACTTGATTTTTCTCTACCATAAAACCATAAAAAGTAAGCCTCTACACAATCATGGAAATTTTAAACAGTCTTTCCAGGCACTGAAAGGCAGTCAACAACAGTGAGTAAAGGTGCAAAAATAAAATCTAGCCATAATTTTACTAGTTAAGCCTTTTCTGCCTCAGTGTAAACCATGCAGAGATTACCCTAAGTTAGCTTTACAAATATAAGGGCTACATATTCTTCTGAGCACACTCCAATTTCTATAAAATAGCCACAACTGATGGTAAATTCTGTTATTGGTTCCAAATAACTCAGAAAAACATTTTGACAGCTGAAAATTATGAAACTCAAAGAATGAAAAATGAACCAATATTCTCTGCCAAAAGGCATATAGGAAATAAAACATCCAAACACCAAGGATATTCTAACTGTAAATAATCTGAGAGATAACCCTACTTATACAAGGTGTAAATTCGGAAATTCACTATAAAAGAAAATATTTAGGAAGTAGGAAATATTCAGATATATAACTTTATAGCATTTATATCCAAACTTATGTTTAATAACAGATATTAAGAGTATCAGGAAGCAGAATGGTAAATATAATTCATTATGTAACTACACAATTCTAGATATACCTCAAGAATAAAATAGTGAATCTAAAGTCAAATATTTTTACATGAAGAAACCCTTTGGTATTCAAAGGAATACATGAAAAAGAAGACTCTCAGTTTGAGAACTAAGCACTTTAACACCACCAAACATTTTCAATTCAGTTGGCTCCGAAATACTGGCAGAGCAAGGCAGAAGTATATTCTTTAAAATTTTAATGTTTAAAAAGCTGATGATTAACTGAAATAGACAGTGTTTATTAATAACAAAGAGCAAGAGAATGATAAACAGTCTTGCTGGATACAATGCCTTAAATGACAAGTCAAGATTTTTCTAATTGTGAGGTTTATTTCTAACTGTGAGTTAATATTACTTATGCAACTGTTAAGACAAAAGAAATAATACTGCAATACTCAAAGTTTCTCTAAGAAAAGTATTGGGGGCAGAGGGAGGCTTGTGATCACAAAAACCACACAACCCTCCATAAGAATGAAGTTTTAACTGTGCCTACTTCAATCCTGTATTACAAGGAATTGAGAAACTTTTCTAGGACTTCCTTCTGGTATTAATGTTCAAATATTTCATTCTTGACATAAAAAGTCAAATAGTTCAATTGACACACAATCAGACATTCTTAGTACAGAAATGTACCCAATTCAATTCCTTTTCTCTACCATTTGGAGAATAGTTTTGATCATAATACTTCTTTCCACAAAGCCATAAAGTTTCTCAATGCCTACTGAATAAATGCATACTCCTCAGGCTTAGGCATCCCAAGCTCTCTACATTTTTATAAGTGCACGCTACTATACAGCAAACCAATGCATTCTATTTACTATCATTGCTCCCTGTCCTCTGTCCTTTCCAGCAGTTCTCTTTATTAGAATGGCCACAAACTTTCATCTCCATCTCTTAAAATCCTACTTAGCCTTCAAATATAGCCCTCAAAATTCTGCAACTCAATTTTTGGAGAAATATTGTAGTATTTTATATTTTCCCTTTTTTGTGACAAGTATTCCCTGATGATTTCAGATCACTTATTTTTTTTTTCCATCCACAACACAGTTTCCAATATAGCAAGAGAGCTAAGATGCCATTTCTAGTTTTATACACTTCTTAGTACCTTGTAAACACAGTGAGTGCTCAATATACAGCTGCCAAATAAAATAATCATTTCAGAGTAGGCAACTGGCACAGTGGTTAAGACACTGTTTGGGAGTGCCCACATCCCATATTGGAGTGCCTGGGTTTGAGTCTTGGCTCTGCTTCCAATTCCAGCTTACTGCAAATGCAGATGCTGGAAGGCAATGGGTGATGATTCAAGTACTCAGGTACCCGCCTTATAGCTCTGTTGAATTTTATTCTTGATTTGCTTTCACTCCTGACACTGGGATCAAGATCTAAAAGAGAACTTGACCAATTTTCAAAAAAAATCTGTTCAGGAAAACACTGCTGCACTGAAGATTCAACAAACAAAGATGGCCTCACTTTTAGTCTTGGGTTTGGCTGTAAATCCTCATTTTAAAATGGTGAATAAAATTAAAAGCTAAATTCTATCTTGAGCTAGTTACAGCTGTTCTCCTAAGTTACAGAGTTTTGGTTAGACTAACATGCCTACGAGAACTTTTTTCATCAAATGTACCTACTAGGATTGGTAGTTCAAAACACAACTGACCAAAACTGGAAATATACCAGGTGGAAATTAGGACTGGTGGCTGAACTGACAGAAAAGATTTGGATACTAAGCTAAATTTTTCTCCCCTTTAACTAATCGCACTTGACAAGCAAAATCCATGTATTACTTTTAACATGGATTAGAAAGTGAAAATAGCAAGTAATAAAACAGAATCTCTGAGGCAAAGCATAACTAAACAGTCAAACGGAAGCAGGGAAACAGGTTTATATGTACAAGTGACAAGATAACATGAAAAATAGACACGTATCTTCCAAACCCTCTGAGTAAAAAGCTACCCCCAGAACAGTGAGGTCATGATCAATTTGAGATCAAAGTCCAGCAGAAAAAAAGTTTTCTAAGACATTCATGTGCTATTAAACTTTCTAGACACATAAAAATGCCAACATCAGCTACTACACAAACCAGTACATTGAGTGCTTTACCAAAGTCCAAAGGATTTTAAGAGTTCATGTCAAATATTTACTGAATATCTAACTTTATTTCCACATAAGTGTCTAAAAAGGAGTATGAGCCACATAATTTTCAGAAGTGTATTCATATGCCATTTTGAAAATTTTCTCCTTGTATGTGGAATAAATCTATGAAAATTTACATGCCCACAAAATTCATTTTTTTAAATGGTGGGTAGAATGACTTGAATCACTGTACCTAGAAGACAAGACAAACACACTAAAGGAGCTTCAAACCCCTTCAACCATTGTTGAAATGGCACTGAAGTGGCTAAGAATGGAGGAACCCTAATTTTGGTTCACACTGTGGTACTAAGAAGTTGTATATGGGGCCAACGCCATGGCTCACTTGGTTAATCCTCCGCCTGCAGCGCTGGCATCCAATATGGGCGCCAGGTTCTAGTCCTGGTTGCTCCTCTTCCAGTCCAGCTCTCTGCTGTGGCCTGGGAGGGCAGTGGAGGATGGCCCGAGTGCTTGGGTCCCTGCACCTGCATGGAAGACCAGGAGGAAGCACCTGGCTCCTGGCTTCGGATTGGCGCAGCACCGGTCGTGGTGACCATTTGGGGAGTGGACCAACAGAAGGAAGACCTTTCTCTCTGTCTCTCTCTCACTGTCTATAACTCTACCTGTCAAAGAAATAAATAAAAAGAAGCTGTATGCTACTTGGAAAAGCAAGAACATTCTCAGTCTCTCATCTGTCAAAAAAGACGCTATCACTATCCTATTTATCTCTTAGCATTTTTATGAACAAGAAATGAGATATGTCATACAATAATGCATTTTCAAAAGGCTTTTGACAAATTTGAGGAGCAATAATCATCATTGATTAGAAAATCCAGTTACTTTTAACAGCAGATTTCAAATTGCTTCAAAGGATGTTTAGTAAATAAATACTCACAAGTTACCACTATTAACCCCTGAATTAAGATAGCCTACACAAGTCACTGATGGTTACTACTGACAATACAATCCCAAACTGGTTATGAAGATTGACTATAGTGCAATATATATTTAATTTAGCTAATAAGAAAGTTTTACTTTAAACAAAGTACTTATAAGTCCAACTGATACTCTTCTGAATAATACAGCATGTTCACAAACAATGCTACAGTTTTAACACACAAGCATGTTGGCTAATCTAAACTGTTGGAATCAGTGCTCACTTGCCCAGTATCCACAGACATTTCATTTATAACACTATGGATCTAAAAGCAGTTAATAACATCAATTGGTTCTGTTTTAAAGTTCCATATGGCCCATAATTAGCAGATTTAAGAGAAGGCAAAAGCAGAAAATCAAAGCAAAGGAAAATTCAAATTTTATAATGAAGACAACATAAACAATGGACAATTCAACTATAATGCTGAAATTAACTTTGTAGTAAGATACACAAACTGTACACTATGTTCAATAGCAGAATTTTCAAGAAAGTAGACTAACAGGTAAGATTGAATACTGACATGTAAACACAACCAACAACTTAAGAATTCCCGGGATGATTATTTTACATTTATTATATCTCCTAATATGCTGCAACTTTCAAATAGGTACCTCAGCAGAGGAGATTTAAAGGCAATATAAAGAGCTTTATGAATGAAGAAGGGATCATGTTTTAGAATAGTTATGTAAATGCATCAGATTTATTTTTTGGATCTTTTGGCTTGTCCAAAAAGAAGTCAGAATACAGCCTGGCAGATTTATTTTGAGAAATTAAATAAACCTAATCCCCAAAACAAACCAATAACTCCTCCCCAAACATTAAACTTATTTCCAGATTTTGAAGCAAAAAAGGAAAATGTATAACACAGCAAACAAGGAGAGATTATAGAAAGATTGCCACATTACACATATTTTATAACAATCTCATTAAAAGAGACCATTGTAATCTGTTGCTTCAGATTGTGTTAGGTTGTTTTTTTTTTTTTTCCTTTTTTAAGGTTATTCTAAGGAAGCAGGATACTTCCTACTGATCCTAGGTTAATAATGAACTTACTAATGTGAGGGTATCCATTAAGTAAAAGTACGTTTTGGTTTACTTAGGCATGATGATTTTAAAAGACTCAAACCTTTGTTGAAGACTCCTTGAGTTCGATGAGACTGTCCTGTAGAAAATGAATGGAGATGACAGGTGAGCTGGCATAGTTCTCAGAACCCAGAGGAACTTTTGGAAGTATGGCTGTAACCTGGAAATAAACCAGCTACTTCTTGTGAGGATAAATTTCGTGATATCATTAGCAATATGAGTATCAACAGTAAAACAAAAACAAAATCATGTAATGGAGTTGTAATGTTTAAAAAAAAAACTAAATTATATGTACTCAGTGTGAGAAATAAAAATTTATTCTGCTCAGAATTCAAAAATAAATGTCAATGCCACATTTTTCTTATCTTAGTACTTAATAGGTAATTAAGAACACAAAACATTTTTCTCCACAAAAAGCTTAAAATAGTGGAGGTCACTGTGGAAGAACAACACTAATTTGTATTTTTATAGTTTTTCTTAATTGGGAGGCTTCAAATTTTACTTAGGTTGTAATTCTAACATAAATACATACAGTTTCGATCTCAACTAGAAAACTCAGTGGCATTATTAAAAAGAAAACAAAGTACAGTCTATAAAAGAACAATCACTTTTTTTGCAAAGTGCCTATAATGATGAATCATATTACCTCCCACCAAAAAAAAAAGAAAAGAAAAGAAAGAAAAAGTAAAAACAAAAACAGAAAGAAAAAAAGGTATTTTAAAAAAAGAAAAATCAATTATAATATTCCACCACAGTGTTCTTGATGAAGAATAAATAACTTACAGTTTTAAAAGTTCAACGTACTGCAAATTCAAAGATTCCATGAAATTAGATGACTTTAGAATTAAAATTAAATATGGAGCAAGGAATGGCTACCCTGAGTCTTCAAGAAGGCTACACCCACGATTTTGTGCTGCAGTTGAATGCCTGGGGTTTCTCTTTGCTGGGTGGTAGGATTGGATGCCACATCTGCTTTTATCGTAACGCAAGGTTCAACTTGTTGGGAACCCAATGGGTATAAACAAACCTCCAAGGGAAGATACAACAGAAGCTGCATGCTCACTGAATATACACAACTACAGGAGAACTGATCACCAAGGAGACTTTAAAATGGAACTCCTTTCAAGATTCCTTCTTAGAAGGCACATCGGTATGATGCTCATCAAGAAGCTTGATGAATTCAGAGGTATCTTGTTTATCCTGTATCATCCAGGGTGTCTTCAGTACTAAATATTCTTCAATATTTATGCTGAAAAATAGGCTTCATTCTGCTGAAAAGATTCATTTGCTTGTAGCTACCATTGCACTCCAAAAAAGACTGCTTAAAGCAGCGAGGCACTTCGTGGTAAAATTTCTCTTGCACTTTGAAACACTACAAAATTAGTGCTAGGTCCTTGAAGTTTAACATTTTTATAACAAAAATTATCAATGGGAAAAAATCAGTCCACCGATATAGAAAAATTCATTTTCTAATGCAATATAAAACCTCCAGTGGCTCCAGTGAATACTTGGCACAAGACTTGAAGGAAGTCAGGACACTGGTATTCCAAACAGGTGAGCCTAATACGGACGCTGCCTTCCTCAGGCTATACTAACCTTTACTGCGGAGGAATGTGATGGAGAAGGGTGAGTATCAATTTTGCGGCGTTTTTGTTCTGTTAGGACAAAAAGAAACAGAATAAAGTCTATCTCCAGTTTTTCCAAATAAAAATTATGAACTTTCAAGATCATCAAGTGTTAGTTACCCTAGCAAAATCCCTAGATTGCTTACCAAAACAAGGAGACAACAACCAAGTATATGCTAAAATAACAAAAAGTAAACAAATATAAAGAAAAGTACACTTGCCCCTTTCAGGCTCTGCAAGATCTGATCTGGGAACAGGTGACTTCAACGACCCAGAAACTGGCGTTTTTTCTCCTCCTTTAACATTTTCCTTTGATTTCACTTCCTTTGCTATATCTCTTTCTCTGGATGGCTCCTTTTCTCTTTCCCTCTCTTGAGATGATTTTGCTTCTACAATGGGGACAGCGGTCTTAAACTTCTCATCTTTAGCTTTTTCTTCCTTCTTGAATTTTTCTTTCTCTTTGTCAGACTTAGGTGTTCTTTCCTTGGTCTCTCTTGCTTTTTCTTCTTTATTTGGCCGTTCTTCCTTTGGTTTTTCTTTACCATCTTTACCAAGTACCCTGGCCTCTGGAGTAGTAGCTGGAGTCTTTTCTTTTTTCTCTTTTTCTTTCTCTTTCCCTTTTTCTTTGTCATTTTCTTTGACAGTTTTGCTGCTTAAGGATAAAAACACAGGATTTTAAAATACAAAAAATCATAAAGTACATACCATGTTTAAAATCAAAGTTTGCCATCAGCTTCAAAAATTCTGGAATTAAGAAAAGCCCTTTGAAAACTAAAGGAAAACTTTAAGACAAGTAAAAAGGAAGTATTTCTTTATCCATAAAATAATAATAGGGGCTGGAGCTGTGGTATAGAGTACTAAGCCTCCATTTGCGGTGCTGGCCTCCCATATGGATGCAGGTTTATATTCTGGCTGCTCCTCTTCAGATCCAGCTCTCTGCTATGGCCTGAGAAAGCAGCAGAAGATGGTCCAAGTGCTTGAGCCCCTGCAACCTTGTGGGAGACCTGGAGGAAGCTCCTGGCTCGTAGCTTTGGATCAGCCCAGCTCTGGCCATTGCAGCCACTTGGGGAGTGAACCAGCAGATGGAAGGCCTTTCTCTCTGTCTTTCCCTCTGTCTGCAACTCTCTCTCAAATAAATAACTAAAATATTTTTTAAATCAATAATAAACAAATTCATTAATAGATGAAAAAGGATGACTAAAATAATGTCAGGTTCTTTTTTGAGGATAACAAGGCAACAATCAAAACTATATCCCACAAACCAAAATGGAGTACTACTATCAATAAATGGATTACTTAGCTGGATGGATTACTGAATTACTGTAGGCTTTTCTTACATATACTAGCCTTATTCAGACCATCCACAGAAAGCACTCTGTATTAAAATAATTTTTAACTTCACTATTAATACTCCCCTGCATATCCCAGCAAGGCAAACAAACTTATTACATAAAATAAAATTAGGATATTAAGTACATCATCAAAACAGTGGTTCCTACAAAATTTCAAAGTCCAACAGAATTCTGACATAAAGCCCAGTGTCCCTACCTGGTAGAGCTACTATTTCCATTGCTTGAATTCCCTTTTGGAGTGGCACTAGAAGCTTTATTAACAGCTTTCACACCACACTGAGATCTCTCCCTTGATTTATCTGAAATAAAAGTAAGGTTTTATTTAACAAGCATTTAAAAGTAAATAAGCATTTTCACAGCAAAACTATTAGAGAATAATTAGAAACAAACAAGAGGCTGATTACTTCTTAACAGTTATTAAAACTCCCAGCTAGGGAATTAAAAAAAAAGAGTAATACCAAACAAGCACTGTATTTGTCATGTGATACAAAACATTTCACTGTGTTGAAACAAAATGCATTACTTTTAAGTTTCTGCAAATAAGCATACCAGTCTCCTCAGTACTGCTTTCATCCGATTTAGATGCACTTCCTATCGATGATGAAGAAGGCCCACCACCAGGCCCATTTTGTACACTGGCGACAGCATTCCTCGGAGGGGGGTCTTTGTGATGAAACTCATTTTCAGGTATCATGTATGACTTTCTACTTTTCAACTGCCCAGAGTAGCTGAAAGTCGCACAAAGTGTTTAAATATACAAACACAAATCAAAAAGCACAAACATGGGGTTCAAAAGAACAAAATCAGTACTTTATTCACTCTACTACTTGGTTCCAGAGAATAAATAAATATTTTCAGTAACTTCTTGAAGATCTTTAAAGCAAACCCTGGAAAACTGCCTTACAAATAAAAAAAAATTTTCAGTGTAAGCTGATCCTAAACTAAGACAACTCTACTTCTTTTTGTCCTTTAAGATCTGATAATTCTATAATGACAAAATTACATTTCTTGCCAATCAAGATAGATTATATATGACTTTTGAAACTATCATCCAGTATAGACCGGAGGTTGACAATCAGAAGCAACAACTCTCACCAGCCTGTGGGAACATGATCGCATAATCTCCCATAATCTCCTGAAATAAGGCAGAAGATAAACTTCAACACTGTAAAACATTTTCAAGTCTTCAGAATCCTTCTGTCATCTAATCTCATAAATCACATTAAAGTATAATTTTGTTACCCCATAGCCAATGCATATAGATCTGGCCTCTTCTCTTTTTCTTCTTGGCAGATTTTGTGCACTCTTCTCTCCAAAGCCTGACCCAGATTCAGAACTTTTGGGTACCAGGGAAGTATTTTTGTGAGTACAATCAAGATATTCCTGATGTGAGTATATTCGCCTGTTTCAAGGCAATGTACTGATGCCTGCAATAAACGTTTTATGATCCATTATTAAAACGGTACAAGTATGAAGAGAAAAAATTCCCCTTTGAAAATCCGTTTTTGCTTACCTTGGTTAGTTTGTAATGCCATTTGTGTACCACATGTCGAAAATTTTCATAGTCTAGTTGATCAGCTTTATTTCCACCATCAAATCCAGTCGCCCGTAATATGGTAAGGAATCCGGGATAGTTACCACATTCCTAAGGGGAAAAGTTGGCTTCTGAAGAAAAACTATGTCTCACAAAACAGCAGAAACTGAAAGTAGACTAGATAAATGATTACATGTAAAAACGTGTATTTGGGTGACAGGTAGTTTGCACAGACAGGTTCAGCTTGTTCAGTGTTTTTTTAATTTAGAATATGTTATAAGATAAAACTGTATAGCACTTCTCACTAATGAGTAATTATGTTTTTAAAATACTGTTTTACAACTGAATCTTAAACTTGGCTACTCTTTTAAAACTCAACCATCTAGAGATTACTGGAAGTGGTCATTATATACATGGATAAAAGGTAAGGGAATTAACTAGTCATACAATTTCATATCGAAAGTCATACCTTTTCATATGTGGCTCTATCGCTATGCCACCTGGTCACAGTCTCTAACATGCAGCAAAGAAATCTCCCGTATCGACTAGCTTCATTTTCAGTACAGCTTGCAACTGTGTAAATTATATCAGAAAAAACCTAAGGGTAAAAAGTTTGAAAAATAAAAGCAAGTCGAAGTCAAAATCAGTTGACAATATTAAAAGATCTTCTTATAGTGAGTCATATCAGGTAAGTTTAATCAAAATGTGCTTTTCCCATTATATTCACACTTGCAGAGTCCTATGGAAATTTGACCTTTGTGCAGAAACACTACATTTGTAAAGCAATTTAAAAAAAAAAACCTTTTATATAAGAAAGCAGATTTCACAATGACAGAAGAAAAAAACTGTCACTATTATCATACAATAGCTTCTTAAAGAGTCAGCCATACGTATTACTCGAGTTAGGGAACAGTAAGCAGAGGCAAAACTGATAGAAATTAGAAATAGGCAGCTGACATGTTGTAACACATATTGATGCACAGTAATTTGACAAGAGAAAGATATACAATTCTGTGAATATGACCATCCTGAAAAGCGTCCCTGCTTTTATCAATGTGTGCTATTATTGCTGTTTTCAGGAATGAGGGTTAACAAAGAGTTCTACCTACTATCAAACAACATGTAAACTCAAATGTTTAGTTAACAGCTTGATCTTAAGTGCTTACTACATATCAGGTAATACCCAAAGTGCTTTTCATGTGTAATGACTCATTTTATCCTCACAATTTTATGAAGCAAATACTGTAAATCCTGCTATACAGATAAGAATACTGACGCACAGATAGGTTATATAACTTGCCAAAGATCACATAGCTAGAAAGCAGAAAAGCTAGGATTCAAGTTCGGGCACTTGACTTTCTAAATCATGCTTTTAACCACACACACAATAATATGTCTATAGATTATAATGTTTAGCTATGCTTGTGTGAGACTTTTTTTTAAAGGTTGCAATAAAAAACTTACTCGATCATAGCAAAGAAGTGTGGAAAAATTTGGAGTTTTCTGTTGATGTACCAATTCAACAAAACGAGCACAGTAAACAGCATCAATTGCTGAAAAAATACATCGAGGAAATATACACAGCTGTAGAAATTTTGTGATGGTCTCATTTTTGGTAGATTCTAAAAATAACAGAAGAAAATATTAAGTGGTAAACTTCTTCCTCAAGTGCCTGAAGGCCACTAAACATGACAACATACTAACTTTAGCGTAGAGAATGCCATAAAACCACAAATTATTTATGGTTTGTAACCAAATTGCTATGCCTAGGATAAGAATATCTTTTTACTCTGTGGTCATTTTTCTATCTATGATTTCCCCAGAACATGACTTTATACAGAAAATGTGAATGGTATGCTGCCAATATTGTAAGTTAATTAAATTCACCAGCAAGCTAATATCAGTTCCTTCCATGACCATGTGAAGTTGATTCTGCATCAATGAATAACCAAAAAACAGAATAGTGAACACTGAGTTGAAATATAATCATTATAATATACTTCAACGTCTCCAAAGTGATAAAGATTTGCTTTTTGAACTTAACAGCAGCAGAATGTAACAATTCCAACAACTTACTTGCTAAAAGCCAGTTGTCCTTTTCCAATTTCAGTCTTTGCAGAACTCTCTGTACATGTTCCATCTGTTTCTTTTCTTCTTCAAGAAGCTTGTCCTGAAGGGCAGTACAGCGCTCCTTCTCCTTTTTCTTTTTATTTGGAGGCTACAAAGTATAAGTTAGATATACACATTACCTCCCTTATTTTAATTAAAAAATTTAAAGAGATAAATGCTGATGCTTTATAATTATTTCAACCTGGATGTATAATCAGTCCATTTGGATGTGCTTTCATATCCGTCCTATACATCAAAAACAGTGCCACAGTTTTCATAAAAGTATCAAAACAGACTACCTTCCCAATAGTAAGTAATATTAGTCTTGGAGATAAAGCCATCTTTGACTCTTCTCCTTCACTCTTATATTCTATTTGACAAGTCTTGTGCATAATTAGTACCTCCACTGCAGTCTAAACCCTCGTAACCTCATGATGAATTTCCCCTAAAAAAAACCACCTACCTGGGCTACTACTAGTCTCCTCCCTCATCAAAAGCATCTTTCAGGGCCAAGTGCTTGGCACAGCAGTTAAGATGCTGTTTGGACATCTACATCTCATATCACAGTGCCTGGGTTCAAATATTGCACCTGATCCCAATTCCAGCTTCCTGCTAATGCATATCCTGGGAGGCAGCAGGTGATGGCTAAGGTACTTGGATCCCTGTCATCCATGTGGTAAAACCAGATGGAGTTCCCAGCTCCTGGCTTTGGCCTGGCCCAGCCTCAGCTACTGTGGGCATTTGAGGAGTAAACCAGCATATGGGAGATCTCTGTCTGTCTGTCTCTCCCTCTTCTTCTGACTTTCAAATATATAAATATTCTTTAAAATAATACATTATTTTAAAAAAGCATCCATCACACCACTGTCATGAGTTATCTTTTTAAAGTACTATTCTTTATCATTATTACTTCCCTATTCAGGATTCTAAAATAGCTCTCAATTTTATCCAGTCAACTTTTCCTCCTGACTTTAAATATCCTACATAATATAGCCCCATCCTAACTATTCAAATTTGTCATTAAACAAGATCACTAAAATGAATGTAGTCTAAAAGCCCAGACTGTTTCCTGACTCTGTTGGACCCCTAGAGTGCCTTATTTGCATCTGTATTTCCAAACCTAATTGACCATAAAGGCCTGCTCAGCTCAAGACTCAATAAAGTCTTCTCCTAAAGAGTTCAACTACCACCACTCTTGCAATTCAAGTCATACAGATCTGTTTATCTTAATAGCATAGCCTTTTATAGAAAGACTTCTAACTTCAACCCATTCATCAACTCCCTGCTCCACCCACTGAGGTTATACCATTAAACTAACTTAAGAAAACATTGTATACAATATCAAGATCACAGCCTTAAGGAGCCTGAACTAAAACAATTTCAAAGTATGGGTATTAATAAATTAACATCACAAAGTTATTGTACTTGAGCAATGAGAACAAAAACCTACCATTTCCTGATTGTCATCGATTGCTTTCATCTGGACTTTAAGTTTATTGACTTCTCGTTCATAGCTGGTATGTGGAACTGCAAGGTCATACATTGTCAATGACCAGAATGTGGCATAGAATTGAGGGCTGATATCATCCCAGACTTTGGAAACATGTAAGGAGACCACTGCTTCATGGACAGGAGCCATCACCATTTCACACGATGTGATGTACTTGTGAACTTTATGTTGCTGTTTACTTCCCTTTTCTGATTTTTTAAGTTCATCATACTTCGACTGAAGATAGAAAGTAAAAACACATACATACATAGAAACACAATATAATTTATAGCTTTTGACTTTCAAAGTATAAAAACCTACAATCTTTTTTAAGGAATCAAAAGATGACCAATCTCAAAACTATTACAAGAATTTTACTTTCTTACCAGTAGCATTTATTTTAACATAAACCATCCCTGGAAGCTGTTCTAATTGTTATTCCCATATTCTGACTATGAGTTTTTCAACAGATTCTTATTAAGTCTGACCCGTTGAGTAAGTGAAGAGGGAATGCATACCCCCCACCCCCCATCCATGCCTCCCAACCTATTCCCTCTTACTGCAGTATTAGGGATTGAACAAGTAGAGCTTCCAGTCCTGCTTTTGAGATATTCAATGGAACTAAGCGGAGGGTCTTAAGATTAGTAAAGAGGTAGAACAGAAGGAGTAACAGCCAACCAAGATAGAAGGTAGTATCATTACTTGAAGTTCCTACCAGATGTTAACAATTTGCCAATTAAGAAGCTGGATCAGCACTAAGAAACGTTAGGAAGAAGTTACAATAAGACCAATGAGTACGTTGACCAGCTGTTCAGGTTTGCAAAGATTTAAGGGTTTCCCAGGATGCAAGATTTTAGTACTAAAACTGGGAAAGTGTCAGGCAATTCAGGAACAGCTGGCTAACTTACTCCTTAGCCAAATAAAATGTCCTATGAATAGCTGTGGTATTGAAGTTTAAAGAATGTGAGAAATGATGCAGCAGCTTTTTTGAGCTGAATGGTATATCCTAATTTGGGAAAGAGTCAGAGGAAGGCCACATTCTACTCTGGATGAGAAAAAAATTGTTAGTACAATGGTAGGTAATGCATGTTATATCACAGAGTGTACACCAAATGTAAAAAAGAAAATACAAACTACAGTCATTGCTATTGCTTCATATCCTTAGTCTCCTTAGGATAAAAGAGCTCTCTCTCATCAAGGAAACTCCATTTGGATTAGACATCATCCTTAAGGCAAATCCAAGAGAAGTCCTAAAACCAGCTTCTTTGACAGAAAAGAAGCACTTAAATTATTCAATTTATGCTAAACATGTAACCACAAACTAGAGTCTGCTTCCAGGTCTGTTATGTGATAAGAAGAATCTCAGCTCCTTACAGTCCAACTCTTTTTCCTTCTAAGTGCTCTGGGTACCACTGTACCCCCAGGCTTGCTGAACTGAAGGCATACCAAAATCTTTGTTTTCAGACAGTATCTCAAGCAGAAACTGAAAAGCTTACATCCATTTTAGAGAGCATGCCAACAACTGAGACCACAAAAGTGATAACTATAAAGAACACCAGTTATGAGAGGGCGTAAGAGAGAGACACCAGCTGGGATAACAATTTTTTTTTTCAATTTAGAAAGTGAGTCTTTTTGAAGATAACTAATACAAATCTAGGTGAGCAGAATGACATCTGCTAAGGGTATAAGAAAACATGAGATAATAGTGCTAAAACTATCTGTATAAAACAATCTAGCCTCCCCCCCACCCCCAACAAAAAAGATAACTTAGTTATCTGATTTGGGCAAGATCTAGAATATGAACTGGGGGAAAGGCTCTCTTTCTAGCCCATAACTCAAGATAGATTTCAACAATTGAAAACTGAAATTAACAGGTTTAAGAGGGTTATAAAATAGCTCCAATCTCCTTAGTCCTCCGGTTCTGAATCTATGACTTCTATTGCTGGGCATCCCCTTAGTCCCTATCGTGTTAGAAAAAAAGAGCTGTACTTCATATTTACCTAGGATGAAAACTTCCATGCCTAAGGTTAGTTTAACTTCCACTTTAAGCTCACATCTTCAGTCAAATGGAAAGCTATAGAGATAACAGCTCTATATTTCAGGACACTTGAGGGAACTAGAAGAATGGAACAGAACTGATATCTACATTATTGCTATACTTCTGATTACTACTCAAAAAGCTGTTACCTCAAGAAACAGTGTTTGGCTGAATTATTCCGAAGAAAGCCTATTGGCAGTTCACTTTTATGGAAGAGACCTAGCAGTCCTCTAATGCTCATGCACTTGCACTACTTCATTGAAGGTTCTTCAAGAGAGGCTTCTCAAGAAGCAAAAGCAAGGATCTCCAAGGCAACTTGAATGCCCATCCAGTGCAACCAGGTTGCTGAAGAACTCCCTTTCTAGAGAGTGACTTGTAGATTATAGATAAAGACTTATCTCTGATGTAGCTATATACACAAGGTTACTTCAAAAGGTTGGCAGAACTGAAAAGTCAAGTTTATTTTGGCACAAAAAATTTTGAAATCTGGGGCCAACACTGTGGCAGAGTGAGTTAAGCCACTGCCTGCAGCACTGGCGTCCCATATGGGTGCTAGTTTGAGTCCCAGCTGCTCTACTTCCAACCCAACTCCCTGCTAATGCACCTGGGAAAGCAGCAGAGGATGGCCCAAGTGCTTGGGCCCCTGCACCCATGTGGAAGACCTGGAAGAAGCTCCTGGTTCCTGGCTTCGGCCTGGCCCAGCTCCGGCCATTGCAGCCATTTGGGTCGAAGACCACTCTCTCTGTGTCTCTTCCTCTAACCCTGCCTTTCAAAATAAATAAAATAAATCTTAAAAAAATGAAATCCACACAGATATTTCATAATAGGTATTTTCCAAGAACTTTTTGAAGATTCCTCATAGTTTTGTTTTCTTCCTCAATTCTGAGAGGGAAATGCCACTTTTTTTGCTATCACTTAAGAGACAAAAACACAATATTTTACAAAGGCTAGAAAAAAGATACCTATGTGTATGAATGACTGGTTCTACTTTCTAAACTAGGGAAGTTCAGCCAACCGGGTGTTTCTGTTTTCTAGGGTTCACTACTGTTGATCACTGTGCTTACTTCTCATCACAGCACAGGGCAATGAAGCAACTCTCCCACCTCAGTGCTTCAAGTAATCAGGTCCTCTATTGTATAGCTGAGACTGATCTGTGGGTTGGCGCAAAAATAAGAAATAACTATACAAAGACAGCATACAATTCTCTGGACTGAGAGATTCAAGAGGGAAAAGGTTTAACTGACACTCCCTTATCTAGTCTATAAGACAGCATCTGCTGCAATAAAGAGATGATCAAATCAAATAATGTTTAAGGTGTTTTTTGGGGGGGTGAGATAAGAGACTGTGGCAGTTGACATATAAACACTAAGTTTGGTGGGGGAGGTCAGCGCTGTGGTACAGCGAGTTAAAGCCCTGGCCTGTAGCACTGGCATCCCATATGGGCACCTGGGCATCAGTTCAAGCCCCAGCTGCTCTACTTCTGATCCAGTTCCCTGTTAATGCACCTGGGAAAGCAATGGAAGATAGCCCAAGTCCTTGGGCCGCTGTAACCAACTGGGAGATCCAGAAGAAGCTCATGGCCTCTGATCAGTTCAGCTTCTGGCCATTGTGGTTATTTGAGGAGTGAACCAGCAGATAGAAGACCCCCCCCGCCACCTCCACCTCTCTCTGTAACTCTTTCAAATAAATAAAATAAATCTTAGAATCCAAGTTTTTCTGCACTTCTTTGACAGACAAGCTCTTCTACAGAGTTCTGTATCGCTGACAAAAATTGGGATTCAGTTTAAGAGAAAGGGTCAAGACCTTTCTCAAACTTCATAATGAAAAGCCTTGTACAGTATATAATTTAAAACAACATAAGCATAAAGACCAGAATCCAAGCCTATAGAAAAATAAACATCCTGGGGATCCAGTCACTGGAGTTAGTAAACTACTATGAGTTTACTAACCATGGCTCTGAGGGGAAAGGAAAGCTGAATTCACACTAACAGTCACTGTTTTTTGGGGCTGTCTCCTCTCCTCCCACATCCTGACTTGAATTCAAAGTCACTACAGGGATATCATGCTTGCAAAGTTCTCAGTTTACTTTTGGGTGGGTTTTTTTTTCCAACAGTTTTATTCAGCTGAAGAGAAAACAAAACCGAGAATATACCCTCCCTAGAAAGTACACAACAGAGAAGGCAAGGCTTTTTATAGGATTGGGTAATGGAGTCTTTTTTTTTCTTTTCATTATTTCTTTGCTTCTTTCTTTCTAGGAAATATGACTAATATCAAGTCAACTATCTGACAGGAATATTCTTACTGAAAAAATATTACTTTGTAGTCAACAAGAGATATTCTCAGATCCATTTGTTTCAGAATTACCTAGCACTTGTTTAAAATAAAGGATACTCTAGGGTAGGTGTTTGGCACAGCAGTCAGCGCAGCACTTTGGCTGTCTGCATTCCATGTCAGAGTCTCTACTCTCAGCCCCTGCTCTGCTACTGACTGCAGTTTCCCACTACTCCACACCCTGAGAGCCAACAGGTGACACATGGCTCAAGCATTTGGGGCTCTGCCACCCACCTGCCATTCCAGGATCTTGGCTTCACCCAGCCCATTCCCTGTTGTTGCATATATTTGGAAGTTAAACCAGCAGATGGAAGATCTCCCTCTCTCTTTGCTTTCCAACAAAAAAAAAAAAAGAAAAAAAGAAACCTAGGAATTTCCAGACATCCTTAAAGTTAATGAATTAAATGTTTGGGATGCTTTAGCAGGTTAAATTTTGGTGTGTGGTGTGGCATAGCAGGTTAAGCTACAGGCTACAGCTTGGAACGCCAGGATCCTATATTGGAGTACCAGTTCCAGTTCCAGCTGATCAGTTTCCAATCCAGCTACCTGCTAATGTTCCTGGGAAGGTGAAGGATAATGGCCCAAGCACCTGAGCCCCTTGCCATCCATGTGGGAGACCAGGATGAAGTTCCTGGCTTTGGCTTGGTCCACATCTCACTATTGTGGCCATTTGGAGAATGAACCAGCAGATGGAAGATCTTTCTCATTCTCCCCTGACTCTCTCTCACTACAATTTTTAAATAAATCTTTTTTTAAAAAAAATTTTAGTAAGTTTGAGACACAGGGTTCTGAGTTATAAAGATGCTTCTCTGGTGATTCACATCTACATTAATAGGGTTCTCTAGTGTCCATGAGATATCAATCTGGACAACTGGCAGAGTACAAAAAGTAAAGTAATAGACTGAATAAAACATACTTTTTTTTGAAAGATGCATTTATTTATTTGGAAGGCAGAGTTGCAGAGAGGCGGGGGGGGGGGGGTCTCCCATATGCTGGTTCACTCCCCAGATGGCTGCAATGGCCAGAGCTGCACCTATCCGAAGTCAGGGATAGGCGCTTCCTTCAGGTCTCCCACATGGGTGCAGGGGCCCAAGGACTTGGGCCATCTTCTGCTTTCCCAGGCTATGGCAGAGAGCTGGATCAGAAGTGGAACAACCAGAACTCAAACTGGCGCCCATATGCTGCAGGCTGCAGCTTTACCCGCTACGCCACAGCACTGGCCCCTAAAATATACTCTTAAGAAGGGACATTTCCATTGAACACTACTTACATCCGAATATCAACAGAAGATAGAAGTAACTCTCCAAGGGACATAAGTTAAACATATCTGTGTCAAATTAATATGCATTTAAAAGCAAGACAGCTAAGAAATAACTTACAATCATTCTTGAAAGGCAGCAAAGATAGTTGTACTTACCGAAATATGGTGTGCATACATTGGCCTAGACAGGAAAAATGCCGCATCATGGGGTGTATGAAATTCATTACAGAGCACATCAATTGAAGGCACTCGTTTTATATAATCTTCTGTGCTTAGGTTAGATGCTAAAAACCCACCAAACTGTACCAGGGTATCGTGACACTAAATTAAAAAAATAAGGCAGAAAACATGAATGTGCTATCATTTTATAAAACCATCAAACACTTTCCAAAATGAAGAAGGTATATCATTTTAATATTAATTAAAAATCCAAATTTTACAATTTAAAAGGATGTTATAGGACACCAAGTAAAATCACAGGATCATATAAAAAAGATGCTAATAACCTGAAATGTTGACTAATCCAAAGCTTTAAGAATACACCAAGTCCCATAAGTTCCAAGTTAATGTTCATCACTTTTAGGAGAATATAATTATTTATGTCACATAAACAATATGCATGGGGCTGGAACTGTGGTATAGAGAGTTAAGCCTCTGCCTGCAGTGCTGGCATCCCATACAGGCGATTGTTTGAGTCCCAGCTGCTCCATTTCCAATCCAGCTCCCTGCTAATGTGCCTGGTAAAAACAGTGGAGGATGGCCCAAGTATTTGTGCTCCTGTACTCATGTGGGAAACCCAGAAGAAGCTCTTGGCTTTGGCCTGGCCCAGCCCTGGCTTTTGCAGCCTTTTGGAGAGTGGACCAGTAGAAGGAAGATCACTCTTTCTGCTTCTGTGTCTCTGCCTTTACAATAAAAAAATCCTAAGAAAAATATGCATGAGGTGGATCCAAGATGGCTGAATAGGATATAGCCATGCTGATTTCAGATGCCTTGGGGTATGAAAAGAACAAAGGAATGACCTGTTTCCAGGAGCCTGACTGGGAGAAATTTTCAGTGGAAAAGTGACAAAACAATGAAGACTCCATGAGTCAAGAGAAAGGGAGGACAGAGATGCTGTCTGCACACCAAAGGAAATGATCAAGAGTGAAGAGACATCCAACAAAATGGGAAAAAAAATATTTCCAAGCTACCTATCCAAGAAAGGACTAATATACAGGATGTATCAGCAATTTAATAAACTTAACAACAAAAAGAAAATCTGGTGAAGAAATGGGCAAAGGACCTCAATACACAGTTCTCAAAAGAAATGCAAATTGTCATCAAATATATGAAAAAATGCTGAACATCACTAGCCATCAGGGAAACGCTAATCAAAACTCAATGAGATATCACCTCACCCCTGTCAGAGTGGCAAAAATCCAAAACACAAAGAGTTGCTAAGAACTCTGGTAAGAATATGAAGAAAAAGGAACACTAATACACTGTGGTTGGGAATCCACTATGGAAAACAGCATGGAGATTTAAAATACTAGAAACAAACTTGCTGCATCATCCAGCAATCCCATTTCTGGGAATATACTCAAAAAACAGGAACGCATTGTTCCAAAAAGATACCTGCAACCACTATTGTTTACAGAAGCACTATTCACAACAGCCAAAATATGGAAATCAACCAAGGTGTCCATCAATAGATGAATGATAAAGAAAATGTGGTATATATATATACATACAATGGAATATTATTCAGCTATAAAAAATAATGAAATTCTACCATTTGCATCAATGAATACAATTGCAGGACATCGTGTTGAGTGAAATATGTCAGATACCAAAAGACAAATACCACATGTTCTCCCTCACACGTGGGAGCTAAAATTAAAAAAGAAAAAATAAATTAAAAAAAGAGAAAATGCCTGTATCAGTATGACTGAAAATATAGTTTTGCCAAACTTTGTTTTATACCTTGTCAAGCCAATGGTTAAGAATATTATACTACTATAGTTTTAATGATTTGTGTGATCACTTTAAAACGTAATTGGGTAAAAGGGTCATCCTTCCATCTGACTACTGTTTTTTAGTCCTTGCCCATATTTGTCAAACTAGCATTTTTTTTGCTTTATATCTGTTGAACTCTTTATTTAGTAGAGAATTAAGTCTTTGTCTGTAATGTAAATTAAAAACAGGTTATCTCAAAAAGGGAGGGAGGGAGAGAGAAGTGAAAATCATTGTTTTATTAGAATTGTATCTATAAACTATATTGAATGTTAAAAACTAAAAAATTAAATAAATAACAATATGCATAAGGCAAATAGAAATCAACTCCTTTGCCCTTAAAAGATGAGAATTTACTTATGTAATATATATTTATAAATGTTATGCAACAAAACCTATGACAGCCAACAAAATTTGTTTATCACCAGCTATATTACAAAGAAAAAAATGAGATACCATCTACTTTATTGTGCTTGACATTCCAGATTTCCAGAGATCAGGAAAGATGAGGCAAACAACTCAAGATTGCAGAAATTTAATGACAGAAAGCCTAATTAACTGAAAGCCTTATACATGTAAAATCTCAGAATCATTTCTTAAATACTATAATTTGCATAGAAATATGCCTTATTTCCAAAATATCTGTTTTATATTATAACTGTTTCATAATTATATAAAGTACAAAACATTTTTGTTTTTCAAATTTTACCACATTCTCTATTTTCCTTTATCAGGTTCAAAAATTTACATCAACACAAAAGTCACTGTTAACTTGCCTGGTCATAGAGCTTTCCCACAAGTTTCAAATGCTTCTCTCCACCTTCTTGAAAGATTACTCCATTCCTCTGCTGAGCCATAAGCAAACAGAGAGGAAGAGCAAGATCATGGTCCAATAGTGCATCCTTTAATCTCTGAGAGGATTTCTTAGTGTTTCTGATCTGGCCAAAATAACCACCCTAAACAAGAAAGACACAAATTTACCAGGATACAATACATAACCCATGCCACCTTATGTGAAAGTGAAAAAAATTTCAGTTACAATCCTTAAGACACGAAATTCCTACGTTCTATGTTCCTTCCCCTTTTCATAAATTTATTTTAGTGACACCATTACTAATTATAATGACTTAAAGGTAAATGTCAATCACTTTCCCCCTTGCTGACCCCTACCTTCACAGGATCATTCTTTATTCACTGTGGATCAGATTAAGCAGAGTAGCAACATCAAGATTTATGGCAATAAAGATATCAAGGACCACAGAAGATTTGGTATTTACTTTCCTCACAGGTGTATCACTTAGTGTCTTTTACATTATGCTTTAGGTTTTTAAAAAGATTAAAATGGTTTGTGGAATGAGTATTTGGCACCTATTAAGCTGATGCTTAGGACACCTGCATCCCATATCAGACTGCCTGGTTCAAATCCCAGCTCTCCTTACAACCCTGCTTCCTGCTAATTTACATCCTAAGAAGCAGCAAATGATGGTTCAAGTCCCTGCCACCCACACGGGAAACCCATAAGGACTTTTAGGCTCTTGGTTGTTGCAGGCATTTAGGGAGTGAACTTGCAAATGGAAGATCTATCTCTGCCCTTTGTCTCTGCCTTCCAAATAAAAATGTATAAAATAACTAATATATCTCAATCTCACAAAGAGAGGTAAGTGGTTGTGAGAGAGTATAGCTTTTGACATTCGGCTTTATGTATTCGTATTAAAATATTCTTTACTATGGCCATGCATACAGCAGTACCTCCTTATCCACACAGGATATGTTCCAAGACAAACAGTGGATGACTGAAACTGTTAATAACACTAAATTATGCTCACCTTTTTTCCCTATATACACACATATTTATTATCTGTAAGTATAATTTATAAATTAGTTGCAGTAAGAGATTAACAAGGGCTAATAATATAATTCAGTGGATGCAGGCTCACTCTCAAAATATCTTACGATATATGAGATGATACAATGCCTACAAAATGAGATGAATGAGCCAGCACTGTGATGTAGCATTAGGCTACCACATAAGGGTTACTTGAACACAAGTAATGTGATACAGCCTGATAAACCAAGACAGCTACTAAGTGACTCTTGGGCAAACAGCATATACTCCCCCTGGACAAAGGGAAGGTAAGATTCCCATCCTGGGCAGGAATGAGGGGCACAGCATGTGATTACATCCTGCTACTTAAACAGAAGACAATTTAAAACTTCTAAATTTTTTATTTCCAGAATTGACCATTTAATATTTATAGATACCAGCTGACCACAAGTAACTAACTACAGAAAGCAAAACTGCAGAAAATGTGGTACTACATACATTTTCTATTGTAAAAGTAAATAACCAAAAATGACAACTCTCACCTCAGCTTTTAGCTGCTCTCCACCAGTCATAGCCTCTAGTTGCTCCATTGTCATTTCCTCTGTAATTTCTATTCCTGCCATTTTTTGTACCACTTCTTTCAATATAAGAAGGTCAAAACTATTCAAAATAAATGGTCTACAATTACAACTTCAAATATATGTGACAATGTATTATAATTAATATAGCAAGAATCTGTAATTATTTGTAGATGAATATAGAGGAGGTTGAAGAGGTTTTAAAACAACTACATTCTTAGAACCAAAATGAAAAATATTTCTTGTGTATGTTTATATTTAATTCCATATAATGTTAACCTTACAGATAGTATCAAAAATAAAGGTACAAAGCAAGCCCATATAACCTTTCCCTCAATTTAATTATTAACATTCTTATTGCCATCTGCTTTATCATTTGTGTGTCCCCCTCACTTCCTCCTCTCTCTGTACACATATACAATTGGATGTCCAATATATTTTTGATGGTATAGTCATCTCTCGAAACAATTCAATTAATAAAAATGAATAAAGAATGATCAAAACACACTTGGAAGAGGGTACACATTAAAGGAAAAAAAAAAACAAAGGGAAGGCAGTTTCCAAGTGTACTATTTGAGCCTGAGATGGCAGCTGTTTGTCCTGATTGTTTGAAATACTAGATCATTTTTTATTTTGTTAGCTTTCTACCAGAAAGCTCTTGGAAACAATTTCTAGTTCTTAAGAGTCTCGTCAATTTCCTGCTGCTGAGGTTTAATATTTGTACTAATTCAGGTTCTGGTGTTGTGGCTTAGCAGGTTAAGGTACCAGCTGTGATACTCAGCATCCCATATGACTGCTGGTTCAAATACACTTCCAATCCAGCTCCCTGCTAATGTACCTGGAAAAGCAACAGAAGATGGCACGATTGCTTAGGCGCCTGTCACCTACATGTGAAACCCAGATGGAGTTCCAGGCTCCTAGCTTTGGCCTGGTTCAGCCCCGGCTTTTGTGGCCATTTGGGGAATGAACCAGTGGATGGAAGAACTCTGTCTCTCCCTCCCTAACTCTTTCAAATTAAAAAAAAAAAAAAAAACTCTCACACACACAAATTCAAACTTTAAGCACTGACACTGGCCCAGAATAGCTAATATTTATAAAGAAAAAGACTGCCCCAAAGCTATGCAGACCTTACATATCTCTAAAGTTCAAATATAAAAATATGCTTTGTGTTTTGTCATGAGATTATACAATGTACATATTACTCATTTACTCATAGTTTAACAGGTAGTCAAAATAAGCAAAAAATGTCTTTTTAGTGAGTTACATATAAAGTCAAATATTTATTCCTATAGAAAGGGTCTGTGTATCAAGTTATAATTTCTTTTAATTACAAAATTCCACACAGATAAATAAGCAACTATTTTACTTGAGCCTACAACAAACAAGTAGTCTTTCAGGATAATATATATCTCAGTATCTCAATACCTCCCCCAAATTCTCTAATTACTAAATTTCACTTATATATCATTTTCTATAAATACCTTTTGCCTGCCTTTAGCTGATTGGCCACATATTGAAGAAGACCAGCAAGATCAATTGGATATTTACGAAAAACTGCACCACAAAAACTAGCCAGGCCTATATGAAGTTAAAAAGAAAAGAGTAAGAATAAAAAGAGTTCATAAAAACAAAACAAAAAGCACACGTAGCATCATTTCTTCAACTAAGTCAATTTCTAAAACAAAATGAAGTAGGAATAACTACCTTGCTGATATCATTGAATGGAGTTCTATAATAGCTAATATTTCTTAAACATGTCAAGCATTATACCAAGTACTTTACATTGATTAATTCATTCAATTCTTATGATGATCATCTAAGGGTGATATAAACCTATTGATGAGGCAAATTCAGAAGATACATCATGTAACTTGCTCATGGTCACATGGCAGAAAGTAGTACACTGATTCTAACCTATGCAGCCTGATTAATTAGGACAGATCAAAATCTCACAGATTACTCAGTAAACCTAAATAAATAACCAAATACCAGCCCTTTAAACATTCCAATCAAAAACAATTATCTGGGGCCGGCACTGTGGCACAGTGGGTAAAGCTGCCACCTGTGATGCCGGCATCCCATGTGGGCGCCAGTTTGAGTCCCAGCTGCTCCACTTCTGATCCAGCTCTCTGCTATGGCCTCGGAAAGCAGTAGAAGATGGCCCAAGTCATTGGGCCCCTGCACCCAGTGGGAGACCCAGAAGAAGCTCCTGGCTCCCGGCTTGCAATCAACACAGCTCCAGCCACTGTGGCGATCTGGGAAGTGAACCTGCGGATGGAAGACTCTCTCTTTCTCTTTCTCTCTCTCTCTCCCCACCCCCTCTCTCTGCCTCTCCTCCTCTCTGTGTAACTCTTTCAGATAAATAAATAAACCTTTAAAAAAACCAATTATCTGCTTTATCTAGGAACATGCCTTGTCAAGGAACTTATCTAGGAACTACTTGTCAAGGGATACAGAAACAGGTAAAATATTGCCAGGCCAAGAAACAGACAAGAGAATAATTTTAACCAATAGTCCTTACCATGATTAGGGAGGAAACCCCAATCAAGACAAGAAAAGAAAATCCTAGTTAGGTTATCCATAGTCTATTCAACAATTACTTGCAAAGCACCTAAATTTTACTGGACAAAACATGGGTCCTGTCCTCAAGGAGCCTAAGTCTAGTGGGAGATACAGAAAATAACTTAAAATTGAGTTGAATAAAAAATTCCATGGGAATACAAAGAAGTTGCATTTAATTCTGACTTTTGGGCAGGAAGATTAACAGGAAAAGCTTTCCAAAATAAATGATCTTTAAGTTAGAATCTAATAAGAAGATGGAATAAGGACGAGTGGTCACAGAGGAGTATTCTATACAGAGAAAGCAACAAATGTAAATGAGCCAAAAAAGTCCAAATTCAGTATTAATGAAAGGTAAAATACTGGAACAAGGGGAATGCTGAGGCTAGAACAGTAAGGACCTGATTCCAAAAGAACTGAGTTGTATGATTAATTAAAGATTTCAGCGTTTAAAAGACAATGGGAAGCCACTGCAAGATTCAGCTATCAGAGATGATAGAATGAAAGACTGGGAGCTGGCTTATATAAAACAAAAGAACAAGAAATAAAAAAGAAATGTGGTGTATTTTTGGTTAAGCAGGCAAGTTTTTGATCTTTGAAAATGACTAGAACCTTGAATAGAAAGGGAGAAAAGTGAGGTTATTTCCCTTAATAACAATTCCTTTAAAATAATAACTAAAAAGAAGAGGATCTTCAACTCCCTTGTAATGCTTACCCAAATTCTCTTACAGTCAATAATGATCTAAAGTTTGGAAATTTGAATTATATGAACTCCATTATACAGCCAAAGATTTGGATGCTCTATAAGCTGAGTGGCTAGACAGCTTTAAAAGGTCTTGACAAACAGACTCTTAGGAAGTCTCAAAATACAGGTGATGGAATGTATAATATAGCAGTTATCACCAACAGTAATTTCACTTTTGGAAAAACAAAAATACTTACTCTGAAGCCAGTTTGAGATGGTTGTGTCATCATGTTTCATTCGCTCCTTTTCTGGATTAGCTAAAGCTTCAATGATACAATCTTTCATTACATTTAGGAAAAATGCATCACTAGCAGAGACCACTAAAATAAAACAATAAGCCACATACTGGAAAAAACTAAAACTGCTTGCTTCAGGCTGTTACAAATTAGTGAAAGACACTCACTTTAGTACCAACTTTTCTTTTTTAGCCTCTTTTCCATCTTAAGAAAGCATGATAAATTCCACCTAAGTCAAGATGTTTGGTAAACCTAACATCTCTCCCTTTATACAACACAGATATATGTGCACACAGACACTCAATCACTCTCATAGTCTTGACTAGTCAAACTTCAGATCAGTCACCTGAATCAACTTCATATCATTGCTTAAGGAATGGTGAATAAAAATAAAGTATGGGCCAGTGTTATGGTGCAGTGGGTTAAAGCCCTGGCTTGAAGCACCGGCATCCCATATGGGTGCTGGTTCTAGTCCCAGCTGCTCCTCTTCCGATCCAGCTCTCTGCTATGGCCTGGGAAAGCAGTAGAAGATGGCCGAAGTCCTTGGGCCCCTGCACCCATGTGGGAGACCTAGAAGAAGCTCCTGGCTCCTGGCTTCAGATTGGCACAACTCCGGCCATTGCGGCCATCTGGGGAGTAAACCAGCAGATGGAAGACTTCTCTCTCTATCTCTACCTCTTTCTGTAACTCTGTCTTTCAAATAAATAAAATAAATCTTTTTTTTTTAAAAGAAAATGTTCACCATACATTTATGAAATGTGAAATCTATGTGTTGCTTCTTCACTTGAAAGGATACAGGCCAAGACATCATAATTCAATGAAGTGAGGTATTTCAATGAATCTACTACAGGTGTTATTAAGTTATCGTACTTCTGTATTTGTGACAAGATCTGGAAGAAAGCAACAAGAACAGAGGGCATAAACTAATCAAAAGATGGCATCTACTATGCCAACTAAATAATACCTGCAAATTTTATTTTTCAAAAGAAATAATGCTTATAATTTAAGTGGCTTCCTATCATTTCGCATTTATATAAAACATACTATTTTGTCACTGCATCAGAAATTTTTCTTTGAGAATGTTTTTCCAATTAGGAAAGAATTCCAGAGGGCCTAAACTTGGATTTTCAATGACAGAGGCTACTATTGCATCAAATGTGTTTTAGACATCTTTTGAAACTGAAATAGTGTGTATCTAAATCACAATGAAATGCCATTCAATATTTCTAAAAGCTAAAATAAAAAATAATTATTTCTAGAAATTAAAATGTGGTAGGCCAGCATTGTAGTGCAGCAGATTAAGCTGCCATTTATAATACCAGCATCCCATATCAGAGCACTTATTCATATCCCAGCTGCTCAGCTTCCAATCCAGCTCCCTGCTTATGTGCCTGGGAAGGCAGCAGAAGATGGCCCAAGTACTTGGGTCCCTGCCAACTACATGGGAGACCAGTATGAAGTTCCTGGTTCCTGGTTTTAGCCTGGCCCAGGCCCAGATGTTTTAGTCATTTGGGGGAGTCAACCAGTGAATGGAAGACCTCTTTCTTTGTTACACTGCTTTCAAATAAATAAATCTTCAAATAAAAATATATTAAAATGTGGTAAACTGTTTACAACAGAAGCACTGTTCCATGTTACCAGAAAAATACAATAAATATAAATACACCATATAAAGTTCTTTATATCTGGCAATCTTTCAATGTTCCAAGTATTTTCCCCCTAACACTACCAAACATTTTAAAAACTACATTGTTCTTTTTCTGCTATGCCAATTTAAAGACACCAAAAGGAAAAATCCCTGAAAATATTAACTTCAAAAACATACATAATCAAACAAAATTGTTGGATTGCTGTGGCTCAACTTCCCAATTTGTCTTCCAGAAGGCTTCACATTTTCCTTGGTTAGTCGCCTACAAGGAAAGAAAAAGGCGGCAGAGGTCATCTTAAGAGACAATCCTCATAATGTTGATAGCTTTGTGATATCATGTAAAAAATAAAATTCTTTCCCAAATATTCAAAATGGATCCATGTAAACAACTGTATTCATCATCATATGCTTTACTATAGAACTTGGATTATTTTAGTTAGCGATTCTCCCTGAGGGTATTAAGATCTCGATATTAAAAACTTAACATTTAGAAAACATACATTTCCATTTTATCATAATAGCCTAATAAGTATTAAAAATTTTACTGTACTCTGCAAGTACACAAAATTCTTCCTGCAGAGAATCTATTATTTTATATTTAGAAGGGCTCATTTATCAGGCTAGGTATTAAGGTATCAAGTTTAATGTGATGTAATGAAATGCTTCATGCCATCTGGTTCAGTGACCCTAACAGAGTAATAGCTAATGTTATACTACTCAACATCAAAGGTTCTCTGCTTTTTCAAGGTAAACATTTTTTAAATAAATTCTACTTCTTTTTTCCCTATTTTTTCTCCTGCTTAGGATTCACTAACATTCAGCAAATTTATAATCTGTTACATTTTTACAGTTCAAAAACAATTATTACACAGAATCTAAAACTCCTCTGATGAATCTGTTACATGATTAACCCAGGAAATGTAAAACTTGAAAAGGTCGTTAAGTGACAGGAAGGAAACTTTTGCAAATGAAGTATATTATGAATTCAGTTCAAAATGTGGGGAATGTGATCATTCTTGAAATTATGAAGAAGAAACTTCAGAAGTTTCTCATGGCGAAACCGGACCATCAATTAAAATTGCTTCATCATCAACTTCCCCCCCTTCACATTGTTCCAGGCCCAGTTTCTTTGGCTATCTTCTGTTTTACCTTTTTCCCTATTTCTATATCAAGTGGTCCTCCTACTTGTCATTACAACCCACTACCCTTTTTATTCCATCCCTTACTGCCTCCACTACCTGGGCAGGAAAAATGAAAGAAATATTTTCTTGATTATGTCTGCCCCTTTTATCATGGTATCTGACAAATAAAACACAATCAGTGAGTATTTTTATAATTAATTATTAGATGCCCTATGGCAAGCTCATGTTTTAAGTAGTATTCAAACTTTGAGAAATTCTACAAATAATAAATATGTTCCATTCTCCAATTCAAGCAATAACAAAATCATATTGCTAAGGCCTGGTGAAATATGTACAGCTTACTAATATGACAAAATTCTAAGTATATTAAAAATTCTGTACATTTTGTATTGTATAAATTATATCTTATTAATTTCATAATATTGATACCTACTATGACAGCTAATGTGCTAAGCTTTAGGAACATAAAGATGAATAGCAGTTCCTGCTGAGATTTCTTAAAAAGAACAACAGAACAGTATTTATATGCTATCAATATTAAAAGTGAGGATAATTACTTGTATTACCTTATACACAGATAAAAGTATCTGGGAGGATAAATAAGAGACTAAAAATTAGTTACTATATATTTTTTATTGAGGGGGAATAGAGTGAGAGATAAACCATATGGCTTTTTTTTGCTGTGTATATTTATGGAGTACGATGAAATGTTCTAATCATGTATATACACACTGTAGAAAAATTCAGTAAAGCTAATTAACATACAACACCTCACTCATTTATTTGTAGTGAGACTGTTCAAAATCTATTTTTTCATCCATTTTGAAACATATGTATATAATAACATACATTATTAATTATATAACAATACATTATTATTAACTATGGTTATCATGCAGGATGACAGATCACTAAAACATTCCTCTAAAGTAAAAATTTTGTGTCCTTTGATCAATATCTTCCCCTTATCTAACCCACCCCTGCTTCTGATAACAACCTCAACTTTAAAAAAAAGGGAAATTCTGTCATTCTCAACAACATGGATGGAACTGGAAGACATTATGCAAAGTAAAATAGACACAGGAAGACAAATACCACATGACCTCACTTAGATGTAGACTCTATATACCAACTTAAACTGGGTAAACATATAAACTATTCAAAAACTAGAAAATATTAAAAAGAAAAATGATCATGGCAATGTACCTACTAAGTAGAATGCTAGGATTTTAGGCATAAGGGATATTGGTGTCACAAAAAAAGAACTATCAACTTGTGTTGGGCAATATGTGCTAGGTTAGTCTTCACAGCAGTGACACTGGAGCTCACTCTCCAAAAATGTTACCAGATGGAGTAAAGGGAGGTAAAGGAAAATCTGCACAAAGAGAGGAAACAAAGGCACAGTACAGCTGGAGGTGGAATTGACAGGAAATGAGGTTAGATAGAAGGAGAGACAGATCAAGCAGTGTCTCTTACTTAGAACATCATGCCATAAAGATTGACATACTCCTGAAAACAAAAAGGCATTATAATTCTCTATAAGAACTAAGGTGGGGCCAGTGCAGTGGCCTAGTGGGTAAAACTGCCGCCTGCAGGGACAGCATCCCATATGGCAGCCGATTCAAGTCCCAGCTGCTCCACTTCCTATCCAGCTCTCAGCTATGGCTTGGGAAAGCAGTAGAAGATGGCCCAAGTCCTTGGGCCCCTGTGCCCATGTGGGAGACCTGGAAGAAGCTCATGGCTCCTGGCTTTGGATCAGCCCTGCTCCGGCCATTGCAGCAATTTGGGGAGTGAACCAGCAGATAGAAGACTTTCTCTGTTGCTGTGGATTCGTTCTGAGAGGAGGAGCGTGGTGGGGGCAAGAGGCGTGGAGTCACCACAGAGACCCTGGGAGTCGGGTGAAAGTGGGCCAGAGGCGAGCAGACCACAGGCTCTTTTATTTCAGATGGTACAGCAGCTTATATAGCCAAGGCAGCCAATCCAGTCAAGGGACGGTTTATGCCCTAACCAATCACAGCCCATTGCCAGGCAGGCTCCATTGCCAGGTGGTTTCCCAGGAGATTTCCCAGGGGGTTTCCGAAGCCATTCCTGAGGCTCGGTTGCCAGGTGGTTTCCCAGGGGGTTTCCGAAGCCATTCCTGAGTAACTGATGCTCACTTGCCAGCGGCCATCTTGGCATGGCCTTCTCATTCCGCTACATTTTTCTCTCTCTCTCTCCATCCCTCCCTCCCACTCTGTAATTTTGCCTTTCAAATAAATAAATAAATCTTTAAAAAAAGAACTAAAGTAAAATCTTTAAAAGAGGGTGGTGGTGGTGGTGGGCAGGGCAGTGCTGTGTCACAGTAGGTTAAGCCACCATCTGCAGCACTGGCATCCCATATGGGTGTTGGTTTGAGCCCCAGCTGCTCCACTTCTGATCCAGCTCCTTGCTAATGTGCCTGGGAAAGCAACAGAGGATGGTCCAAGTGCTTGGGCCTCTGCATCCATCCAGGAGATTCAGATGAAGCTCCTAGTTCCTGGCTTCGTCCTGGCCCAGCCCTGGCCATTGCAGCCATTTGGGGAGCAAACCAGTGGATGGAAGATCTCTCTCCTCTCTTTTTGCTGTAACTGACTTTCAAATACAATAAATAAATCTTAAAAAAAAAAAAGAACTAAGGTAGTGGGGGCAGGTATTTGGTGCAGCGGTTAAGCTAACAGATCCCATTTCACAGTACCTGGACTTGAGTCCTGGCTCTACTGCTGATTCCACCTTCCTGCTAATGCACACTCTCGGAGGGAGCAGAGGAAGGCTCAAATACTTTTGTCTGAGGTGGGCATTTGGCACAACTGGTAAGATGCTGCTTGGGATGCCCACATCCCATGAGTGCCTGGGTTTGAGTTCCTACTTTGCTTTCAATCTAGCTTCCAGATAATACACATTTTGGGAGGCACCAAATGATGATATAGCCATGCCATCCACAAAAGAGACCCAGATGGAATTCTGGGTTCCTGGCCTCCTAGCTCAGCCTGACTCAGCCATGGCTGTTGCAGGTATTTGGGGAATGAATCAGCAGATGGAAGATATTTTTCTCCATATCTCCCCCCACCTCTTGCAATGATATTCAAATAAACAGAAATAAATAAGTACTTACAGGGACCAACACTGTGGCAAAGTGGGTAAAGCCACCGCCTATAATGCCAGCATCCCATATGGGCACTGGTTTGAGTCCCAGCTGCTCCACTTCTGATCCAGCTCCCAACTAATATGCCTGGGAAAGCAGCGGATGATAGCCCAAATGCTTGAAGCTCCTGACTCCTGGATTTAGCTTGGCCCAGGCCCAGCCCCAGCCATTGAGGCCATTTGGGGAGTGAACTAACAGATGAAAATCTGTCTCCCCCTCTCTCTTTATAACTCTCCTTTTCAAATAAATATTTTTTTAAATAAAAGTACTTGTGGGGCTGGCAATGTGGTATAATGGGTGAAGCTGACGGCTGTGATGCCAAAATCCCATATGGGCACTGGTTCAAGTACTGCCTACTCCATTTCTGATCCACCTCCCTGCTAATGGCCTGGGAGAAGGAGCAGAAGATGGCCCAAATGCTTGATCCTGCCACCTATGTGGGAGACCCAGAAGAATCTCCTGGCTCCTGGCCATTAGGGCCATCTGAGTGAACCAGTATACAGAAGATATATATCTCTTTCTGTAACTCTTTCAAATAAATAAATAAATCTTTTAAAAAAAATAAGATAAAAAGTACTTGTGTCCCTGGGTGGGAAACCCAGTTTGAATTCTGTGCTCCTGGCTCAGCCTAACACAGACATAGCTATTGTAGCCATGGCGGGGGGTGGGGTGGGGGGGGGGGTGGGTGTCAATCAGTAGATAGAACATCCCTCTTTGTCTCTTAAGTAACCAGAAAATAAACAATATTTTTTAAAAGAAAAATAACTAAGGTCCTAGTAGTAGAGAAAAAGATGACATGGATTTAAGGAATGTATTAATGCTTGACATATTATTAAGTAATATATATAAATCACATAGTTCAGGGAACACATAATAATGACTCTATAAAATATTAGCTATGGTGGTTAAACTAAACGCTGTTCCTGGAGAATTCTTTAAAAACCAGAACTCTTTTCAGATGAACCTGTCCTAATATCATCTTCTGCCATAACTTCCTTAAGTAAAATAATTTACTCTCCTGTCTATCCTCCCATAGCACTTCATACATACTACATAATAGCACCTAATAAATAAGACTCTGATCCTGCACACACCTGTTTTTACAGTACAGCAGCATGACAGTTATCATGTGGCAAAGACAGTATCAATGCATACTGTCAAAGCTAGTTAAAATATAGAATGCAATGCTTTTAATGAGAATAACCACACCACTGCATGAATTTATACAAGGAATGACAACTGACAATAAATAACCTTGCAGAAACACTTGCATTACATTGGTTAAGTGTATTTACTATATAAACTGATACTAATCTGAAATATATAATTTTCATAGTAAAACTTTAGTCTACCAGAAAGTAGAACTAACATCAGTCTTATGCTTCTATGATATGAAAGTAAAAGCATACAAATGAAAACAAAGTTTCTCAAAAGTCAGCACCGTATGGAGAAATTTCTACATAATTCCAATAGATCATCCTAACAGAGCGTTAAAAACCTTTATTATACCATTTGTCAGTTGAGGATATTCATAGAATATCTATTACACTGCACAACATATTAAATGTATTATTCAAGTTGAGCAAAGGCCACAGCTTTTTTAAAAACAAAAAGGCAAAAACTGAATCTTACATGTATTACGGAGAATTGTTTAAGATTTTATATCTATATAACTTAACAACTATGGAAACAGTAACTTTGTACTCAAAATAAGCTAAAACTGCGAAAATTGACTCATCTTACCTGTAAACTAGGATCAGCTATACCTTTAACAAACATTCATCAGGTTTTTTTTTTTTTCCCCAAAATTGAGGCTCAGGGGGCCAGTGTTGTAGTGTAGTGGGTAAAGCCATTGCCTGTGACATTGGCATCCTATATAGGAGCCCATTTGAGTCCTGGCTGCTCCACTTTCAATCCAGTCCCCTGCTAATGTGCCTGGAAAATCAGCAGAGAATGGCCCAAGTGCTTGGGCCCCTGAACCCACTTGAGAGACCGGAGGAAGCTCCTGGCTCCTGTCTTCAGACCGGCCCAGCTCTGGCCATTGCGGCCATATCGGGGAGTGAACCAGCAGATGGAAGATCTCTGTCTCTCCCTCTCTCTGTAACTCAGCCTTTCAAATAAATAAATAAATCTTTAAAAACAATTGAGGCTCAGACATAAGCTAGCTGAAAAAAAAGTAAATTAAATCCATATATAATGTAGATTAATATGAAGAATAATGAATTACAACTTACTTCATGATATATTTGGCTCTGTCTATTGTTTGAGCTTTAACTTTTACTAAAAGTGGGTGACTGTTGTAAGTTTCATTCTTCCACTGGCCATACAGACGATATCTTAAAAAATGAGATGAAGAATTAGAAAAAGTTAAACATACTTAAGAGGTTAACACATTAAAATTACTAGTAGGTAAAAATGTGAAAATATATATTTACCTATGCTGATAAGGAAATGTTTTAAACATTCCCCATAGCTCTTCAGACATGCAAGCATTGCAGTCCATCAAAGAAAGAGATGGAAGAAGTACCTGGTCAGTTATGCTAAGCAAACAGCTTAGGATAACTTCCTAAGAAAGGAGGAAAAATTATTTCACAAAGCTGTCCAGACCAATCCATCCCTCAAAATAAATTTATGATAGTCAGGAAAACTGTCCTTTCTTGATCTGCTAACACAAAATATAATTCCCCACCTTACAACTTCCCTTATTTATGCTTCTCCAGGCAAGATAGCACATACAGAGAGAAAGATAAGGATTACTAAGGGAATGATTTTTATCCCTCATTCGCTTCTAAACATGCTAATCTTAAAAGGGGGGTTAATCTTAAAAATATAACTTTGTGTGAGCTGACAAAAGAGAAAATAAGCATGTCAAATATAACATAATTACCTATACAAGTGACTAAAGCTTATTCACAATAAAATTTGCACTGTTATATCTAAACATTTGACATATTATTGGATTTTTTCTAGTTTCTTACCGTTTTCTCTTTATCTTCTTGTTTGCTTCCATCAGACTGAAACTAAAATTAAAAAAATATTAAAACAAAACAGAAAGGTTAGCATCATGCCATCATAATTAGTTTTAATTCCAAAATATTAACTTGTACAATTATTTTAAACTGTATTCATATTTAAGGTTTACATATAGACTATTACCAATTAACATTTTAAAATTTTATCTCTATTTCTAGCATCCAACTCATTCTTGACATCCATACATTTTAAATGATTGTATAGGCCAATTTTCTCACTCTCATCACAAACTAAGCATCCTAAATCGATCTAAGTATCATAAAATAAAATTAAAGCTAGCATAATAATTTATAGTTCATTTGTACTATCTGATCCAGGTTTTAGTTATTCCTCTATAGAATTAGTAAAATCAAACAGTAAAATAACAAAAATAGGGGCTGGCATTGTGGCACAGTGGGTTAAGCTGCCAACTGCAACGCCAGCACCCCATAGGAGCACCGGTTCTAGTCCGGCTGCTCCAACCCAGCTCCGTGCTAACCCACCTGAGAAGGCAGCGAATGATGGCCCAAGTACTCGGGCCCCTGCCACCCACGTGGGAGACCCGGATGGAGTTCCAGGCTCCTGGCTTCGGCTTGGCCCAGCCCCAGCCATTGCGGCCATCTGGGGAGTGAACCCCAGCGGATGGAAGATCTCTCTCTGTCTCTCCCTCTCTCTCTGTAACTCTGCCTTTCAAATAAATAAATCTTTAAAAAAAAATAAAACCAAAATAAACACAATGAAATGTAAAGGCATGTTTTAATACACTACTAAAGTCCTCACAGAAAAATAAGCAAAAATATTAACAACATTGCTGAAAAAAAAATAAAAACCATTAGTTAACTTGAATCCATTAATAATAAAAAACTGGGTTAGCAGATGGGTCCCCAAAGTGTTTGACAACATTGTATATTCATTCAATATGAAATAATGAGTGATATGTGTATGTGTACAGCAGGTGGAGGGTTGGGAAAGAGTGCAGAGGCAAAGGGACAACTGAAGCACTGACACCTACAGACAATTTAGATTTCCTGAAAGAATTAGCTCAATAGCAGGGAAGGGAAAGGGAAAAGCAAATAAATATGCAGCTAATAAGCTTACTATTTTCCTAGTAAGCAAGGTTATTTTGTGTATGTATGTACTTTCATACTTGAGCAATGTAATGAGTGTTAACATGGTAAAGTCTAACTTCTGTGTCACATTTTCAACACCTACCATATAAACTTTATGAGGGAAAACACACACCTTTTTTTTTTTTTTTTTTTTTGGAACTGGCAGTCAAAAAGGTATGATCATTTTCAAAGAAACAATTATTAGGTTACCTTGGTCAGTAAATAAGGAATTGGGTTACAGGAGAGTGGCCTGGTAGGAAAAAAGCTAGAGAGTCATCTGGGTTTTTGGAGATGGGGGATGGAAATGTGTAATTCTGGTGGCATACTGAGTGTACATTCCGGATGGAAATAGGGTAGACCATAACTGGAAAAACTTCCTTAATTTCCAATATAATACATGATAAACATACCAAAAGAGGTTTCAATATTGCCTTATAAAGACAGAGCTACTAATGGGGCTACATAACAACATAGGTTGAAGATTAAGGGGAAAGTTGCAGACATAAATCAGATGAATTACTTTTATGGCTAGATCAAAACCTGTAGCCATACCTATATGAACTATAGCATTACCTTCACCATCCTTATTCTTCTCATTTTTAATGACAATTATTGAATATCCACCAGGTCCATGTACTAGAATAAAGACTTCATATTTATGTTTTAAAACTATGAGGAAAATCATTTTGCTAAAAATTATCCAAGTAAGATTAAAACAATTTAGAAATCAGAAAATATACCTATAGGGAAAAAATTATCTAGGGAACAGGAGATTAACAAGTCTAGAGAACAGATCAATAAACCACCTTCCTTATATCTTTCAATTAAAATTTAAGACTTTATAAAATTCTTAGAAATACATTGTTAATACTACATTATTCATGAAAAGATAGATACTAAATGACAAAATATTATCTCCTAGCTCCTGGCTCCAGCTCTGGCCGATGCAGTCATTTGGGAAGCGAACCACCAAAAGGAAGACTTCTGTCTCTCTGCCTCTCCCTCTGCCTCTCTGTAACTCTGTCTTTCAAATAAATAAATAAATCTTAAGAAAAAAACGTACATCGGGCTATGCATTTGGCCTAGCAGTTAGGGCACTAGTTGGGAAGCCAGCATCCCATATCAGAGTGATTAGGTTCAAGTCTCAGCTCTCCTCCTGATTTCAGCTTCCTGCTAATGAGTACCCATGGGGGTAGCAGATGATGACTCAAGTGGTTAGGTCCCTGATACCCACATGGGGAACCTAGATTGCATTCCTGGCCACCGGTGTGCATCTCTCTCCCTCTACTTCTACCTCTCCCTATCACTCTCCTTAATAAAGAAATTCTATGTACTGATCTTTCTTATATAAAATGCATTTTTAAAAATAATGTACTGTTTTCATCTAGTCTATATATGCCTCGTAATACTTAGTAATACTTAGTAGCTGCCTATCCTTGTATGTTTATATACCTCTTTTAGTTAAGCAGAATAGCTAATGAGGAAAATGCTAATTAAAGTATGATTTGTAATTTATTCCCTTAAGTATGATTCTACATCTTGATTAGAATTGTAACAGGAAGATATTCAGTACGAGATAAGCTGATCTTAATTCAAACCAATTGTTAAAGGTGAAAATACAAGAGCAAATATAAACATCTTAATACTTCTTTGATCACATTCATTAAATACAAAAGATGTTTTTAGATTAAACTTGGTTTCTAACTCTAGAGCTCCTCATTTTCTTTGTATGGACTTTTTACAATAGCAAAAATACATCAGGGAACTTGACAGTACCAAAAAGAGCAGTGTTTGCCTCTATGTGTAAAATAAGAACTATATTAAAAGATTTTGATGTTTTTAAGGTATTCTTACAAAATGCTTTTTACTTAAAATGAAGAGATACACACTCATACCTACCCTTGAATAGTTCACTCACAAAACCCTAGCAATAAATATTTTCTTCATAAAAATTGCCAGGGCTAGCACTGTGGCATGGCAGGCAAAGCCGCCACCTGCAGCACCAGCATCCCATATGGGTGTACTGGTTTGAGTCCAGTGGCTGCTCCACTTCCTATCCAGCTCCCTGCCAGTGCACCTGGAAAAGCAGTGGAGGATCACCCCTGCACACATATGGGAGACCGGATGAAGCTCCTGGCTCCTGATCTTTGAGGCCACTTGGAGAGCAAACTAGTAGGCAGAAGATCTCTCTCTGCCTCTGCCTCTGCCTCTCCCTCCCTGTTATACTTTAAAATAAAATAAATGAATCTTTAAAAAAATTGTCTTTATTTTGTGTTAACTAATTTATAAAATAAATAGCAACACTGGTGGGGTAAAAAACCACCTGATTATCATTAAAAAGTAAACAAAGAAAGTCCTTGGGGCTGGCGCTGTGACATAGTAGGTTAAGCATCTGCCTGCAGTGCTGGCATTCCATATGGGCCCCGGCTCTAGTCCCAGCTGCTGCACTTCTGATCCAGCTCTCTGCTATGGTCTGTGAAAGCAGTGGAAGATGGCCCAAGTACTTGGGCCCCTGTATCCGCATGGGAGACCTGGAGGAAGCTACTGGCTCCTGGCTTCAGATAGGCCCACCTCCGGCCACTGTGGCCATTTGGGGAATGAATCAGTGGACGGAAGATCTTTCTGTCACTATCTCTCCCTCTCCCTCTGTCTGTAAATCTGCCTCTCAAGTAAATAATATAAATCTGAAAAAAAAAATGAATTCTGGGGCTGGTGCTGTGGCACAGTGGGTTAACACCCTGGCCTTAAGCACCGGCATCCCATATGGGATGCTGGTTCAAGTCCTGGCTTCTCCTCTTCCCATCTAGCTCTCCGCTATGGCCTGGGAAAGCAGTAGAAGATGGCCCAAGTCCTTGGGCCCCTGCACCCAGATATGAGACCCGAAGGAAGCTCCTAGCTCCTGGCTTCGGATCGGCACAGCTTCAGCCATTGTGGCCAATTGGGGAGTGAACCAGAGGATGGAAGACCGCTTTCTCTCTCTGTCTCTACCTCTCTCTGTAACTCTTTCAAATAAATAAAATAAATCTTAAAAAAATGAATTCCTACATATAGTAGACAAATGTGCTCTTGAGTGAAATAAAGCTATTACCTTAACATGAGAACTAAAAATTTTAAGACAAAAAAAAGCTTGTAATAGTTTCAAACAAATCATCAAAGTCTAATGAAATAATGACTTACTCAAAAAAAGCAATATCTATGATCTTAAGAATTCATGACTATTCACATTTTACACTATAAAGCTAATTAATGTTAAGAAATACTTGATTTGATCCTCATAGCAATTCTGGGAACAAGATAAGGCAAATATCACCATCCATCTCTGGCTTAGAAAAGTGATCAGCTCAAGGTCACAGAACCAGCAAGCAGCTAGCAGTTTATCCTGATGAAACCAATTAACCAAATGATCAATTTTTAGCTCTTTAATTACTTTGGAGTACAGTCATAACTCAAGATGCTTTATGGGTAAGTTAGGTTCTAAAGTCGGTACAGAAAATGAAAATTACACATGCTCACAATTATTCTTAAAAGTCCCCTAAATTATCCATAATGTACACAGGCATGCCATCTTTTAGGTAAGTCTAACACAGACTATTTTTCCCTCTAGTAAAAATAATTCACTGTTAAGTGAACAGCAGACCTAAACAAGAGATGAAAGAATTTCTTTGCAGTTGAGGCTAGGTCCCATGAAAACATATTAAATACTAGACTCACACTCTGGTGTGAGACTCTGTAAGAGATCTGAGAAATGGAACCAAAGTACCAAAAATGTCTACCAATTTCAAGCTTACTCCTGGGCATACACACTAAATATTTTGAAGGTACAAGTTTGGCTACATTGACATAAATTAAAATGCAAGCATATCCCAATTCCAAGCCCAGACTTCTATACAAAAGAAATATTAATTTGGGTTCTAACCAACACAACCACTACAGATACTCAATTTCAAAAAGAAATAGGAAGAGTAAGGCAAGATCACACACACACTACTCCTAAAAAAAAAAGTAGTGAACATCAACCCCAAAATTCTATGACAGTTTGTTCATAAGCAAAATTTTGAAGTCACTGGTCTAAAGTACATTCTCTACCTACCAACTCAAAGATAGTACACCATCTACCGTCTAGATTCAATATCTTGTACTTTCTGTGACTGACCCAAAAAAATGCAGACATGAGAAACACAAAATGGGCATTCAGGGTATACCCCATAATTATAAGGACATTCTTCTACATTACCATAATATCATTACTTCACTTATTTCCTAATATCATCTAATACCCAGTGTGAGGTATATACTGATCACATGAGTTCATGTTTCTAACAGTCATAAAAAATTTATGCAAACAAATAAATTAAGATGGAAGCAGATTGGCGCAATGGCTCACTTGGCTAATCCTCTGCCTGTGGCGCCAGGATCCCATATGGGCGCCGGGTTCTAGTCCCGGTTGCTCCTCTCCAGTCCACCTCTCTGCTGTGGCCCGGGAGGGCAGTGGAGGATGGCCCCAGCGCTTGGACCCCTGCACCCATGTGGGAGACCAAGAAGAAGCACCTGGCTCCTGGCTTCGGATCGGCACAGCGCCGGCCATAGCGGCCATT